ATCGGAAATACCAGAAAAATTGTCGCAACTGCGTTACGCCGAACGTTCAATACGCATTAGAAGCTATATAAATGTAGATTTTATTTGATTTTTATCTATATATATATCCATGTTTCCTCTATTTTAATTCGTATCATCCAACGGGGTTATTCATATGATAGAATATTATACCGATGAAAAGCCACGTTATAACGTAAAGCAGGCTTAACAGCAAGAAACGTGTGAGAGTGAAAATCGTTAATGTAAAATTGTCGATGCTTTCCTTCCTTTTCATAAGAATTTATTATACATATATTCAAGAGAGCTTTAACGTCAATCGCATGAATAAACCTCAAAGAAATAAATAAACGAAATTTTCTCCTTCGACAAGCAAATAGGCTCCGTTAGAAATACTTTCTTGCTAACGGTGCGGTGCGGTGCGGTGAATCATTCATTTCATACTTTTTACACGACTTTCATCCTTCAAACATTATATCATCGTATCGTCTCGATTTTTCATCTGATATATTATTACTATTTTAAAACAAGAAAAAAATAAACTAACAAATAACTTAGTCAAATTTCTTTAAAAATAAATATTACTTCGGCAAAACAAACCTTCTATAATATTAAACTCTTGGATTGGTAATATTATTCTATTCATCGATATCACATTCTCTCCAGGACAGTTGGTAGAGAAAATATTTGCAGATTGGCTCATGCAATATCATGGATGGTATGTGTACAAACGATACGATCGAGATAGATCAAGCTGAAACAATAGTCTATTTGCTTCCTTCGATCTTCTTGATTCTGGTGCGTACATCTTATAAGACATGGAGTTGGGGAAGCTTGGGGATGTTTCATCGAGAAAGAGAGAGAGAGAGAGAGAGAGAGAGAGAGAGAGAGAGTCGAAGAGCTTCTCTCAAGATACAATGGGATAGTTACTTTACCAATTACGTCTAAAACGTCGGTGAAATTCCAAAGGTTGAAACTTTGATAACAGCTGCTGACGTGATTTATTCTGTATCGCGGAAAGATACCGAAATTGCATCCTACCGATGATTAATTAGATTCTCATCACTTCCTATATTTAACGTAGATATAATCGCGAACAAAAAGGTAGATATTATTGTCATCGTTATTAATTAATCATGAAAATATAATACAAAATGGCAACACATATGCAAACGAATGAAGAAATGATACAAGTTATAATGTTAAACGAATGATATTTTATTTCATACATTTAGCAAATCCAATTTAACGTTCGCGCTCATTGAACATTCGTATATTCGAATAAGAACAAAGTATACCACCGTGTTTTCGAACGATCGATAAACTTTGCATAAATCTTCTTCGTTGAAAGAAAAGAAAACCAAGTCTCGTACATTTCGGAACGGGTCTCTTTCGCAAAGTTCGTTGGAAACTGCGAATGACGTTTCGTCAGTGGGCTTGTTTATTCTGTTACTTTTACGAAATGATTCTCTCGTTCGTTAATTAAATTCGACGATAGAGAGAACAACAAAAATTTCTTTTGTAATTTGTGTCGCTAGAGCTCGTTTTCGAAAAAAAAAAAAAAAGAAAACAGGAGAATAAAAAAAGCAAAACTATATAAAACAAAATGTTCAATTTTGATAATAAATCAAAGGTACGAATTTTGTTACATTCGCGTACAACACTACGACGTTTCGAAATAACGACATATTTCTAGTTACAAAATACACTTTGACCGAAATTGATGAAAAGGAATTCTTTTTCAAGGGAAAATAGGAAGCTTACCCATCCGCGGAAGCAACGAACGCTTGAAACGATGAAGCTTCGTAAATCACAATGACAATGTTCTTTGTAAACATAATAAATTGGTCGATGAAAGTAACGTCATGCTTTCAGCTCTTTTCCTCTTTCTTTTTTCGGAAAAGATAACCGATGATTAAAAGTATTCCCAAAATATAAATGAAACAATCGATAATATTCTATAATCGATTAGATCGATTTTTGTATATATATTGTTTTTCTCGATTATTATTATTATTATTCAAAACAAAATCAACAATATAGTAAAAAATGTTCGTTTAAAAATACAAACTAACATAAATAAGATTGATTTTTCATAATGGGAGGAAAAAAGAAAAAGAAAATAGCTAAAGTATTCGCATTTGGATAAATCGATGTGGAACCCTGCGATCTCTAAGGACCAACCTTCGTCTTTTGGAACGAGCTAAACTTGAACGGAGCAACACCAACTACTATTCGTGACTTCATCTTTCTTTATCTAGTCACGACACTCGATTTCAATAACCATTTGAGTTTAGATATCTCCAAAGAGAAAGACTTGTTTGAAATCTCCTTTGAAACGTTCTTGAAAGGATAAAAAGAAGAATAGTACCTTCTTCGATTCTCTTTCTAAAGTTATTTTTATTCGCACCTCATTAAAAAAAAAAAAAAAGAAAAAAATGAAAGCACGTAGAATTAATTTATTTCGTTTTTTTATTTTTTAAGGATAGCTAAAAAAAATATTACAATTTATTGTTTATGACTCTTTTTTTTCCTATATGATAAAATCATTCGATAGATGAACAAGTTTAAAAATAGATATTTTAAGAAATGTATTAAATTTCGTAAAGCTTAGGGAAATTTTCCATTGGATTCATACATACGTCTAGAATTTTTCAATTTACTTGTCTGCGGATGAGTCGATTCTACAATAGAACGAAGTATGTCACCTATCTATCCACATATATATGTACGTACGTATGTATGTATATAAAGAAGTTCTTTTGTCACGTGCGAGAAGAATAGTAGTGGAGCTTTTCTCAACGTAGGAATCTTTATCGAGTTTTCAGAATCTCAATAAATTCGATTCCCTTCTAGTACTCTTCTCAATCGTTTACAATTCCATTCGTGTAATACAATTCTATAAATTAGCTTTTATTCGAAGAAAAATAATATATATATATTCGTTTTTGAAATTAGCATTCCAAAAATTGAGTAAGAAAGGACAAATTTTATATACGAGTCTACAAGGTAATACAATACGCGTTTAACAAATTTATTTGACATCAATATACCAAATATATCAAATCTAAACGCTCGATATAAAAATATTTTAACAAAAAAATATAAATATTATAATATTTAAAGAAAAATCGTATAAATGATAGCAATAAAATAATATTTTTAGTCGCGTCCGAGGTTAAGCTGAATTCTCGATAAACTAGAAAGGCGAATATTCCTGTTCGAATGTTAAAATGCGAGTTGGAAGGTAAGTGCCAATACGTGGGACGAAGCATATTCCTCCTATCGTGCATTGAATATGAAAAAGAAAAGACAAGAGAAGAGGGAACGTGAGAAACACAGATTCCCAAGCTTCAATCCTTAGGGAAACGATTTAACGATTACGTTTTTCGCTCGATTCAACGTTTAAAGTACCGACAACGTACCAATTGTGAGCTTTCATTTGATAATAATCGTGAAAAATACCTTTATCTATTTCTTTTAGAAAATATTATTATTATTTCATTGTATATATGTATTTATGGATTCTTAATCACTCGTTAATGATTTTAAAAAGATGATAATTAACGGGATTTGTTATATACGAAGATATACAGATATATATATATCATATATACCAGTAATGTACATCGTTTTGAGAAATGCTTAGCCAGTTTGATTTACAGCCGCTCACATACGGCTATTATAATTAGATATACATAGTAGCAATGTAAAGGCGATTTATTGTATAATTATACGACAGATGTACGCATGTTTAATGTCACTAACAGGCGTGTCATTCCATCTAATATAACATCCATCTGTTATAGATATGCAATCGATATTATAAATTTTCTTTCATCGTCTTCTTTATTATTTCGAACAAGAAGATGAAAAAATCATTATAATATCTAGAGTTTTAAAACAAAACAAAAATAAAAATAAAAGAAAAAAAATATAAGACCAATAAATTGATGTCTTAGAAACTTGATTAATTAATTTCATTTAATTACTGCTCAAAGGGAAAATGATACCATGGAAGAACGGAAGATTGATTCGTTCTTTCGGTGAATTAACTCTTGAGAAAGTTTTACCACCGAAGAAGATGAAGTTTCGTTTTTCCTTCGAAGAAACTTAACCAAACTACTAATCAAGAACATCAAATAATTTCGGTTATCGTTGTATCAATTTAATTTCACCTCGAGTTCAAAATTTTATTTCATATAACTATTATCGAATGGAACTCTATTACAATTGGTTAAAAGGTACGATTATAATAACCTGCGAATGGTTTTATCTTTCATCGGAAAAATTCATTTTCCATAATGACTTCGCTCTCTCTCTCTCTCTCTCTCTCTCTCTTCGTGTTAAAAATATCAACGAGATAGAAAATGTAATGTGTTTTTCAACGAACTTTAATAAATTATATGATATCAATAAGCAAGAGAATATTATTTATTTTAATAAATATATAACGTCGACATTTAAGCTTAAAGCGAAAGAAAAAATTAAACATTACAGACAAAATATTGATCGAATTTAAAAATCTTTTTTATCAAAAAATAATCTTTGAAAATGTTTGACTATTCCTTCTCCGACAGATAGTAACTCTTTGAGCAGTGCAATTTCTTAAAGGATAAGCATGACACCAACTACGGTAATTATTCGAATTTAATTAAAACTACTTCTCTAACTTCTTGTGCCATGGTAAAATCATTAATTGAAAGTAAAGTAGGATGGTAATATAGGAATATATATATGTAAGTATATGTATGCACTACATATACCTATCAAAAGTATATCTAACGTATATATATAAGTATATATAACGTATATCAATCAAGCAATATGTTACGTCAACTGTGACATCCTGACAGTATAATGTTTTGGATTTTTTTATACTTTAATTTTAATTACATTTTTTTAATTAAAATAAATTTGAATTCTATTTTATTTTTGTATAATTTAATTTATTTAATGAAAAATTCGAACAATATAACATAGTTATTTCGAACCTGTTACAGGTGCTATCTTCACGGAGGATCAAAAGGATAGTCCCTCGGAACTAGCTTTTAAATACGCAATTTATAAGATCAATAAGGATAAGACACTTTTGCCAAATACAACGCTGGTCTACGATATTCAATATGTGCCTAAGGATGATTCTTTTCGGACGTCAAAAAAAGGTAAATATTAAAAAGAAAAAATAATAAAAAAAAAAAAAGAAACGAAAGAAATTTAAAAATATATCTATATCCCGCGTGTAACATCAGAAACACGCGTGTTTCAATTTATATCGACGTAAAGAGAATAATCTATGCCTTGCATTAACATATCGAAATCATTTATAAGGATTTAAATAGATATTTCATACCACGTAATTAGTAGTTTAATTACGACGCTTTGAGATTTATCCGACTAATGAAAAATATCGGAATAGAAATTAGAACATAAATATATAATTTTCGAATAATTATAAAAATTAAAACAAAAATATAATTTACAAAGACTATATATTATTATATAATATTATATACATATGTATATATGTATAATTTACATTACTTCGTGCATTTGAATTCAACATTGCAATCGTTTCCTATTTATTTTAAAACATTTTTATATCCAAATAGTCATTAACGAGAAGGAAGAATTTTTTTTAAACGAGAATGCATCGTAAGCATGATCGTTGCGAGTTTAATGATATTTATATATTAAATTTTCTCGGAAGAAAAAAAGCTTTTCCTTACTTTTGAGATGGCACGTTCAATACGCATACTCATGGTCAAATGGTAAGATGTTTTTTAAATACTTCAGAAATTCAGGCCGACATATTTCGATAAGACACGAATTAACGATCTGCAGACGATGCTTGAATCAATTTCAAGTATGTACTTTATATATTTTCTTTCTTTTCTTTTCTTTTCTTTTTTTCTCATTTACCTAAAGAGTATAATATTATTTACGTTAACGTGAAATTAATTATTTGAATTTGGACTTATAAAAAATGTTGGCAAAAAAGTCGAATATTTTACAAAGGGTATAATTTCACTGGAATAAAAAAAGTGTTCATCAATACATTATATTTATTGCTGACTCGTTTTGTGTCATACTAGACACAAGGGTCGACAACTTTTCGAGCAAAGCCCTGATTGGCTGAAATCCTCGAACATCCCCTTTAAGACTGACTACTACCCTCTTAGAAGCAATTGCTTCAGGCTTTGGTCTTTTACGTAATATTGTATTCATGTAGGACTTTTGTGAATTTTTCGAAAAAGTATCTTTTTTCTTTTTTCTTTTTTCTTTTATACGAAATTAAAGTGAAATATAACAAGGGCAACATCTGATTTTTTCCAAACTTTTCTAAATTTTTATTTCGCATATTGTCCGGCTGATATAGGGTCGTTTGATGAAACATCTTGTTAAATATTTTTAAATAAACTTACATTTATTTAACGATGAGAATAAATAGTAATTATAATATTCGTAAATTTTCTTCCTTCAAGATATTAATTCATCCATATCTTTTTCATTTTAACTTTACCTTACTTTATTTCTTTCATTTATTTCATTCATTTATTCCTTATCTACCTTAGAAATAATTTTACCTTTATACAACAGACATATTATACTCAATAGAAAAGTAGAGTGAATCTCCGGACACGGTATATTGCAACTAGTCTATTGTGTAAAAATTCTTCTTAGAATCATACAAATCCTTTTCTATAGAAGGTCTGGTAGAAAATTGTTATTTATACGAAGTGAATCTTCTTTATATTTCGAGTGCTTACCATCGGGGGTGGTAGTTCGTTTATAAGACTCCAAGCAAAGTCTGCAAAAAAAAAAAAAAACAGAAGAAAAAAAGAAGAAAATGAATCGAAGTAAAACGTGAAACGTCTAGAAAATTGAATTTACGTTAGAAATATCGATTTAATACGAATCTTCATGAATTTCGTAACACGATCAACCGTTCGAGACAGTCATCTTGAAATACGATACAAGTATTGGTTCGAGAAAACGAGAGAGACAGAAAGAGAGAGAGAGAGAGAAAGAGCAAAGTTGTGAAAGCAATTATGGCAAAGCTATATCCGGAGAAATAGAAAAAGTATTAGCTGCAATAGAGTTTAAGTGCAATAAGGTTTTCGTTGTGAGAAGTAAATAAATAAATAAAAATAAATAACATAAAAATATATAGGATTAAAGTATTAGACGATGATATTAAATGGATAATTATTGAAGTAGGTATTTTATAAATAAAAAAAAAGTACATATCTCGATTTAATTATACATTGAAACGCGCGCGTATGGCGTTGTCTCTATTCTTTTCTTTACTATACGTCGAGTACTTTTGTGTATGGTAAAAATATGAAAAAAAAAAAAAAAAGAAAAAAAAACTCAATTACGGGATGAGCACGAGCGGGTTTTCCGAAAGAATGCGCTTAAAACTCGAATAGGTTGTAGATATCAGCATCGGTCGATGACTTGTTTGGAATCAAATGCCGAAGGGTAGTCGATAGATTCGTCGCTGACTCTAAATGGCTTCCTAGACGTCATCGATTTCCATACTATTGATCAAAGAACTTGATTGAAATCGTTGAAAACAATGGGTACATTAACATTTCATACCAAAAATTGTTTTTACGAAATAATATATTATGTATCTTTTCCTCTACAGATGTTTCATGCTTTAATTTACAAAAAAAAAGAAAAGAACAAAGAATTGTTTTTTTTAATAATATTTTTACTTGTAAGACATGTCACACATTAACCGGAAAGTAAATATCAAAGAAGAATTGTTGTTTGAACGTTGAGTAAAAAAGAAAAAAAAAGAGGACTTTTCTTTTTAGAATGTGACAGTTCGTTAAAGCTGTGAGTGATATCGTAACGAAGTGCCGACCCTTATGTATTTCCTTTGAACACAACGTTATACTGAATCAAAGACAAATTTTTTAACAGGAAGATCGATTTTTTAAAGCAACACATTCGCTTTTTTTTACAAATATTTTCTCGTTAACCTAAAATTCGATTATTTGTCGATTAATTGTTTTATTATTTTAAAATATCAAGGAATATAGAACTGGATAAACAAAATTTGTAGTTATGATGAATTATGACAATGAGGATATAAAATATAATAGATTAAATTTGTTTTTCCTTTATTTTTTTAGAGTGAAACTTTTTAAGACGATGGTAACGATAAAATTATATATAAAATGACATAAAAAAAGAGATGGAACATTGATATACCTTAGGAAGAGATAAAATTTATAGACGATCGACAGTTGAATGAGATTATGGAAAGTTCTTAGCGTGTGTGAGTGTACGTATGTGTGTATGGGATACGTCTAACATAAGTAAAAGAACAGAATATAAGTTGATGTAATATACATTTCTTTCGATTAATTAACAATCACTTACTGTATATCGAATACATTAATATTGTATTCTATTAATATTCTATATTATTTAAATTAAAGTAAATTTGTTTTTAACGTTTCTGTGCAGTGGTGACTTCGGAGGGGGAAATTTTCATCGAAAAAAATATCACATCGAAAATATTTAATATTTAAATTATGTTAAAATAAGTATATAATGCTTATACTAGTATACATATGTTTAAACAATCTGAAATATAAAGAGAGTGTATTAGAGTATTAAAAAAAATTGTTAAATTATCGATAGAAAAGTCTATTGTTGTTTAAAAGTTCGAAATATATGTTCGGAGCTCCGTCCTCTTCGAAATCCACCTTGAGACTGGCACTTTCTCTTCTATGAAAATTCTTTTATTAAAAGTTGTTTATATGACTTTCCGTACGTTGCGCATGTGTATAAAATCAATAATTCACCTAATTACTACAATTTAAGATTATAACATTCTATTTAAAGTTATACTAATGTAATTTTTTTTGTTTTATAACTATTTCAATCCTAAACACACTACACCAATAATTATCAAAGGAAAAATTTTAAGAAACACTTTCACACTGCATATATGAATAAATTAATTATTTTCCGCACAATAATACGAGTTTCACTTTTATCGCACGTGAAGGCAACACGTATCCTCTTTTTCTTTTAATCTTCGAATAATAGTTTCATCTCATTTAATTTAAAAAAAAAATAAGGAACACGATAATTGTAAAGATCGGAAATAAATTAAAGTCACACGTACAATACGAATGGTCAAATACAAGAGGAAGCAAGCAGTTAACGAAATCGTCGTTTAGTAATAACATCAACGTGTGGCGGCACATTGATCTAGTTGGAATACATTCGTCGATTCCATCCTTGCGATTCAAAACAAAGAAATTTCGGATTCAGTCATGAATAATTCGTACGTTGTCCGCAAAACAGTGCGGTGTCTGTGCTTAAACGCGACAAGAGTATTTTCAAAATCGAATTCGTCCATTTCCCCCCCCCCCCATTGGAACAATTCCTATCTATATTGATGCCGACGCCAATGTTAACGATAACATAGCGTGCCAAGAATAATTTTCTTGATCAAAACGATAAAAGAATAAAGTATAAAGAATAAAGATAAATCGTGAAAAAAACGTTATCTGTGCGTTTCGTAACTGAAAGGATAATGGATAAGGAAATGGACCCTTCGAAAACGTATCAATTTCACTGGTCATTCTTCTTGCTTTTCATTGGTGATATGTACACGTAAGAGTCGTAAATCATGTCCATCCGTATCCCATCAGTTCAGTCCGGTTCGGTACAGGGTTGCGTATGTATTGACGCGTGAACTAGGTGATCGAGTTGCTGAGGAAGTCCCCAGTAAGGGACGAAACGTTCAACAAGATCAAATAAATTTGTTCATCAAAATTTATTAACTGTCTTCAATTTTCCCTTTGAAACTCATATATATTAATATACTGTTGGGACAAGAATATTGATTATTAATTGCTATTGATGATCGTCAAAGTAGCTTGCCTATATAAATAGACTGAATCGAGTACCAAATAGAAACGATCGCTAAAGTTTTGCATAATACTTATCAATTATTTTGAAGAACGAACGTCATCCATCAATATTACGAATTTTTCTTCAACGTTTGAAAAAAAGAAAAAAATGTTTCTTTCCGATTCCTTATCGATTCAATTTCATTTCGAATAACATTTCTATACCAGAATGGGTTATTGTCGACGAATTGAAAATTTGTATCATCGATAAAAAAAAGTATATGTTTGATAATTATTAATTATTATATGAAATGAATTTTTCAGTGAGATTCATTTTTCAAATTCGTCTATTTCTCAGAATACAAAAAATGAAACGCTTAAAAATGATTAAAAATATTATTAGATAATGTTTCAATGAAAGTATTTCGAAAAGTAAGAAAAGGATCTTGATGTTTCAGCGTGTAAGCAGTTATCGAGGTCCGTTCAAGGTATTTTTGGACCTTCGGATCCTCTTTTAGGAGCTCATATCCAAAGTATATGCGAAGCTTTAGACGTACCTCATCTCGAAGCAAGGGTCGACTTTGAGCCAACGTTCAAGGAATTTAGCATAAATCTCTACCCGGCTCAGGACCACCTCAACAAAGCCTTTAAGGACCTCATGTCCTTTCTGAATTGGACTAGAGTAGCTATCATTTACGAAGAGGATTACGGTGAGTGCAGTGCCTTTTCAACGAGTTCACATTCGAACGAAAAATATAGTTAATTACTATTCATGTCTCGTAATAGGATAACGTAACTTTATATTATGTATATATATGTGTACACAGATATTCGAACAATTTATTCATAATTTATAACTACATTAACAATTAATTAATTAACGATCATTTGCAAGATTTTGTTTAAATTGAATCGAAAAGTTTTTTTCGTTGAAAAATCGTAGGACGAAAATTATAAATCGTATGTAGATTTTTTTCGTCGAATATTTGTTGGTCGTTACGGGGATGAATTTTCCATGAAAACAAAACGTTGGAATCAGTTGGTATAAGTGGTGTACAGTACTAGGTAGCCCTTGGTAACGCGAATGGAACGTAGAAAATGTCGAGCTGTCATACCCATGCGGATATAACTATGTTTACGTGCGACTCTGTAAACCTCATAACGCGACTCCCAACATTTGTCCCCCTTTATATTCCGTTTTTAATGGTGATCTTTAAATACGATTCAAACTCGGTTCATGAAACGAGAGTGTTCCCCTTGAAAGAAAGAAAAGTCAACAAGATCGAAATCAATGTAGAACATAAAAATGTTTTCTGTTCTTTTATTTTCTTTTATTTTATTTTTTCCTCTCTTTCTTAACCTTAAAAGAATATGAGAAAAAGAAAAATCGTTCACCTGGAAAGATTCAAAAAGGCTTCTACTTCCTTAGCTTCTTTTTCTTCCTTTAACAATGAACTTCAAATAGAACTCGAAGAATTTCTTCGAGCGAGCTTAAAAATCTTTAAATTTGTTGTTACGCTTCGATAAAAACGAATGCAAGAACGAAAATAAAAGTTTCGAATATTCGTACGTGTATACGGAAACGTTCGTTCGTTTGGAATTTATCGATATTCAATATAATTATTGCTGTTACGTTCATTTTATCGTAATATCATTCTCTCGTCATGTATACCATCATCCACTTCGTTTTAATTGGTTCGATATGTTCGTGAACGTAAATGGCAAAGTTTTTTTAAGAATCTCATTATTTCAAAACGAGTTTTCGTATATTTAATCCAAATACAACGAAAAATCTAACGAGTTAAGTTTCAAAACGAGATATTTTCTTAAGTAGAAACGTAACACATCGAGAAAAAAAAAAGACAAAAAAAAAACAATGGTAAGTTTTGTAACTAGGTACAATTTGTAAAACTTTATTCAACGAGAATGATAAAAACTAATAAGTACATTATCGAGATAAAGATATTTTGAAGTTAGTTCAATTTTCACATAACCGTTATCCTTATTATATATTAATTACATTTATTATAATTATTTTCTCGAACAAATCTACGATAATTCTTTCTCGTAATATCTATCTATCTGTATATATACGTTAAATTTTCTCAGATACGTATTACACCTTAAAATACGTATGCAGATGCTCACCCACATGCTTATCTACATATTTATCTGCATATCTAGGTATATTTCCGGGTATTTCAATGGTGTAACATTTTCAAGGAGAATATACTCGCATACGTTCCCATCCAAATATTCATCAGTGGAGTAACGTCCCGTTTTAGAGTTCGTTAAAACTTGAAGAGGAGAAAATAGTTTTCGTCTATCCAACGTATTTCGGATGCCACGAATTTCCAGCGTTAAAATTTCTACCACTCGAAATCGCAGCCGGTCGAATTCACGGCGGATTATCACCGGCCTTTCGACTTTTACTCGTAAAAGTTGCGACATTACGAAAGAGTAATATCCTAATAACAAGATGATGGTGTCTCAAGTATATAAAGTAAATGATATTTGGCTAAGGTTAAATGAAAATTTTTATATATTATACTTTTCAACTTCAACTTATTTTTTTATTATTAATCGAAAAAAGAAAAAATAAAAAGAAATAAATAAATAAAAGTAAACGCTAATACATTACGTATTACTACGTATCGAGTACCAATGATTAATGATAAAAATTCGCGAAAGAAAATGTTGAATCTTCGTCGAAGTAACGAGCAAAAGAAATTCCGACATTATAACAATTTGACTGATTATTTTCGATAATCTTTTATATCGAAAAAATACGAATAAATAAGAATCGCGAAAGTTCCTAATGTTTTAGATAATTCATCGAGATCGATAGTTACACGAGTAAGTGAGTTTAGTTATTAACTTTATTATTACTGTTCAAAGAAAATAAGAAAAGGTAATGGGAAAGAAGTGGTATCCCTTCTTAAATTCTTTCTGGTCCTAACGTAGAGGATAGGTACTTTCGGTATCGTGTCATAAATTTTCAAACTACAAACCAACCCCTAGCCATTCGTTCGTGATAGTGGCGGTGAAGATGGGGGTGGGATTGGGGGACAGGTTTGTAGGTTACTCCATAAAGTAGACTTTCTTCATACCCTTGAGCGTTTACTTCTTTTTCTTAGCGCTTCCCTCTCCTCCCTTTCTCTTCTCTTTTGAGTCTCTTTTTAAAAAGAAAAAAAGAAAAGAAAAAAATGCTATTTAATAGATATGCGCAAGCGCAGTACGTTGTAATTGGAGGGAGGATGATGCATCCTACAGAAACGAAGTTTGTTATTTTTCAATTGAACGTTTTCTTAACAAGAACAACAGGAGGGAATAATATTCACCGTGTATTTCTTTCTGCAATATATCTTTTTTACCTCTTCTCTCATTCCATTTTCTAATATTATTTCTATTTTACTTTCTTTTAAAATGTCACTCTAATTTAGTGACTTCGAAATAAAATGAAAATTTACAAACAAGGAATATTTTTTATTTCTTTCTTTTTTTCTTTTTCAAGGAACCTGATTTTATCGACATTTCCGTCTTCTTCTTCTTCTTCTTCTTCTTCTTTTATTTTCTTTTTCATTTATAGATGTAATATTATATATAGATATATATATATGAAGTACTTCTCGTTTAAAAGATAAACGGGAAAAGTTGAAGACAGTACATAGAAGTAAAACAAGATTATCGTGTTGAAAAGGGAACTGTGACGATCGAAAAGTATACTAGATCGAATTAGATGAAGGGACCGACGACAAACTATTTTTCCTTAACCCCTCGGTCACCCTTGTCACCACCACCACCGTTCTAACAAATTTTTTCGAACAAGGTGGAAGCTGTTATAAAGAGACTACAGATTGCCACTTCGTCGAGTTCTTTTCGTATGGTATGGTACCAAAGCCTCCATTGTTTTCTAACAAATTGAATTATCCTTCTTTCCTTCTTCACCTTTTGTTCCTTCTCCCTGCGGACATACCATGAACGACAGAAGCGCATTAAAGCGCATAACACGACCAAACGTTTTTAACTTTTCCCGCTCGAAGGAAGACTTCTCTCTTTTCGAAATCCTGTTTTTCTCGATGTATACACACAAACACACACACGTGCACGCGTGTACACATACTATAATCCAAAAACGGAGATGAACTAAAAGAAAGAACTTTATTATAGTCTTTTATTATTTTTCTACGTGGTATAAATCGTAAAACTTATATAAGAGTCAGACAATTTATAAAATAATTAATAATTTACTCGTAATTTTAAGATTACAAATATTTTATACGATTGTGATAATTTATTGAATTAATTATCTCTCTTTAGATTTTTTTTCGAATGATAAATTCGATTTAATTACGTTTCGTGCCTGCTTTGGTTGTTAGGTTTATTCAAACTACAGGATCTTGTCAAATCACCGCCATCAACGAGAACAGAAATGTATATACGTCAAGCAGGTCCTGGATCTTACAGACAAGTTTTACAAGAGGTCAGACACAAGGAAATTTTCAAATTAATCGTCGACACCGATCCAGCGCACATGCAACAATTTTTTCGTGCCGTAAGTATCTTGACTTTTTCGATCACATAAATTAAAGTATTAAAGTATGATTTTTAAAAGTTTTCATATGTAACTATGTATTTTAAAAAACGCGCGTTAAACATTTGATTATTTTTTTTTTCTCTAGAATTCACGATAACCATAAAAAAAAAGAAAATGAAATGTCTCGAATAAGGTAGAAAAATAAGTTTTGAGGAAAAACAATTCGTAATAAATATATATGTATAATTGAAAAAACTTTTGTGAATAAATTTTTCATATATTCTTATATATTCGCGAGAAATCAACTTTCTGTCTTGACTTTTTGTTTTTCTAACGATATAGAGCTCGTAGATAGTAATAATTTTTCTCTGTCCGTTGGAAGGAAATTGCAAACGTTGGTAGAACGATATTTCGAGAGAGAAAAGCATTCGAGACTTGGCTCTGTTGATCTACCGATCGATTCTTCAGAAAATCGAACTATTCTGAAGGAAGGTTCGTCGAAGCGTGTCCTTGGCACGTTCAGGAACAAAGTTCAATCGATATAACGACAATATAAAAGTTTAGATAAGATCGTAGGAAAAAGAGAAAGGACTATGAAAAGGATGTGACTTTATTTCTTTTCAATTATAACATAACATAAGCAAATTTTTGTTAAATTAATTCGAAGAAAAAAATTCGATGAATATAATAATACTTTCAATAATAATTATTTCGATATTAAATATTATCATGCATTTATATCGTGTATACGTATAAAATTGTCACAAGAGAATTAAAATAAAATAATAATAATAATAATAATAATATATTTTATTCTCTAATGTGTATAAGAAAGATAGAAAAGAATTCAAAGAAAACGTGAAAAAATTTCTTTATAAATAATATTATTTCGGAATATAAAGCAATAACTTTATAAGAATAAGGATGGGTTAAAATTGTGAAAAGTTGAAATTTTCGAACCTACTCATACGCCTGTGAAAAATAAGGTATAGCAAAATTCGAACGAGAATTCGCGTTTTCATGGCTGTCAGGTAATCTGTCTATCTGTTTGTTCTTCAACATAGGATACGCGTATTTTATCTTATACCGATATCGAGTTACCTCGATAAACGATTGTCATCGATAAAGAGAAAAACAGTATTATAAATATATATTTTTTGATATAACTAACACAAAAAATGAATAAAAACAAAATATTATATATTATATAATACACTGGATTATACCAATAAAAATCAATGATACCCTTTTTAATCGACAAAAAATATAAGTAAAGAATCTAAAAATCAGCACGGATTTCTTCGGTTCTTTGATATTTTATAAATATTTGATATGCACGAGGAAAAATTGTTAACATCGGGAGTGCTTACGTTCGTATTTGGTACAAAAGGTTTGTAAAAAGAAATAAAAAGAGAAAAAGAAAGGAAAGGGTGGGGGGTAAATGACAAATACCCTACCGTCCATTTCGAGCGTTCATTCGACGAAGTGCCGTTCGTTGGTTGTGAAAGCAACCAGCTCGTAAAATTAAATCATGCGAATTGTCAGTGGTAACGAAACAAACGTCGAAAACAATTCATGCGAATTGGGCCAACTTCGTGACAACGTGTTTCGTGTCTCGTATTATACGTATGTGTGTATATATATATATATATATATACATTTATGTATACTATACAATAATGCATAGGTAAAAAAGAACAAAAACGGTTGATAGGAAGGGGAAAAAAGGGGAACAGGGATTTTCCCCAAATTTTCAACTCTTTCTCCAATCGCCAGATTGCGTACGATAAAACGCAAAAGATTTTGCATAATCCAACGAACCATCGACGCGTCATTGTACGCATGTATATGTGTACGCTCGAATGATTTTCTCTCTCTCTCTCTCTCTTGTCATAGTTATTCGAATTGTTGCACAGTTGAAAAAAAATCTATCGACGTGCTTTGAAAAATTGTTCCATTTTTATCGATGCTTACCCATACTCTCCCATATTACCTTTGTTCTTTCCAATATTTTCTTTCTTTCTTTTTTATCTCTTATAATCTCTCTCTCTCTCTCTCTCTCTCTCTCTCTCTCTCTCTTTTCTTTTTTAGTCAGCATGTATTTTTCGTCTTTTCCAAATCCCCCAAAAAGAAATAAAATGTTCTTACATTTCTAAAGATAAAAGCTTTCATCTGATAACTCAACTAAAGCCAGTAACGTGTATAGTCATAGTCATTCGAATGCAACGCGAGTACATGCACACGTCGATAGCAATTCGATCGCTTACGAAATCTGATCGTTTTTTTCATTTTATTTTTGGTTTTTCTTTTTTGTTGCAGATATTGCAGCTACAAATGAATGACTACAGATACCACTACATGTTCACCACATTCGTAAGTATACTTTTCCACGAAATACTTTGATCCAATTTCGAAAAAAAAAACAAATTCAAAGACACAAATATTTGAATAACCAACAAAAATCTTCAACTATTACTATTATTATTATTATTATATAAAATAATTATGCATCTGTTATTTTTCGAAATAATCTTCATTAATTATTCATCAATATCAAGGCATCGAATTATTAAATAAATTATAAAAATTATATGATACAGTAAAATTTCCAAACTTTTTCGATTCTTGGCACCCTTGTTGAATCTAAATTTTTCTAGCGTTCTATGTTAAATACTAACAAGTGCATTTTCCGAAAGTGTCAATAATTTTTTTTAATGCTTGAATAAAAATAAATAAAAAGCATTTTTGATCATAGAAAAATAAGTATAATTGAACAAATTTAACTAATTTTAATTATTAGTAGGATAAAAAATTAACCCGTTGTTCGCAATATACATTTTCTCAAATAGTTGAATTAAATTAGAGACAATCACCCTCGTTTCCATCTCCGCATTAATTTTCCCGCAATACTTACTTAGATTTTGTCGCAACAACTGTCGAAAACTAAACTTCGTACAAATGAGAAGTCGCAAATGGCGAATTAAAATAATGAGAAATATTGTGCAATAATTTGCACACATTTTAGGAATAATATATACATAAAACATATAATATAAAATATATATATATATATATTAAAATTATATATATAAATAATAAAATGTTCATTTATCTCTCATCAAAGGTCCAATTAATTAATAAATTATTTCTCGAAAATTGGATCTTCAATCGTTGCGGAAGCTAATAATTCGACTAACGGCTAAAATTCAAATCAAATTACATATCGAAAATTCTTTGTCAAATGAAGTTTATAGAATCTAGTATTACAGCAATGAAAGTAGTACATATCTGCTGTACAACGAGCAAGCAATGACGCAAATAATGAAGTGCAAACACGTGAAAAGCATCGGGTCCCCTCGTCGTCGATGAAAATTAATGAAATTCATGTGGTCGCATTGAATGGGAATAGAAGAACATCGGGTAGGAGAACGACGATTCAAATATAGATAAAATTTATTTACCAAAGTTCATCGATTATCGATACGAGTCTATTCCCAATCGTGATCCTCGGTGAAGCAGTTTCGTAATATCGATAAAACGTTACTAATGCATTTCTTTAGCAAATAGGAGAAACTCGTTATTTGACGATATCGAATTCCTTTTCATTGAAAAACCAGTTTATAGAATAAAATTATCATTATTTAAAATCATAAAATTTATCTCTTTCTCTCTCACACACACTCTCTCCGTCGTCTCTCTTACTCTTTCTGTTAAAGATGTCACAAAGGATTATTTTTATTGTTAACGATATAAATAATGAGGTTTCAAGTAAAAAACAAAGTCAGAGTTTTGAAATCCGGCACGCGGGGATAATAAGTCGTCCATTTTACTTTTTGTTGTTACTTTTTTTCCCAACTCGGTCCGACGAAGATCGAATAGTTCGTTTCTACTCATGACTGTCTTGGAATATATCAAAAGAAAAATGAGTTTCTTAACGGGGGGAAGAGACAGACAGACAGACAGCGAGTAGCATACGCGTGCAATGTACAAAATCGCAACAGAACTCGCGATCCCCGGTTATAGAATCGTTATCGTTATAATTCGAAATAAAAGGGGCCAGTAAGATAAAGGAATGACGAAAGGGAAGAGGATGAAAAGGAAAAGGAAAAAACGGAATCAAGGAGAAAAAAAAAAGAAAGAAAGAAAAGAAAAGAAAAGGGTGAAAGAAGTTGCTGCTTCTCCTCCTCCTTCTTCTCCTCCTTCTTTCGAAACGAATTCCTCCTCGAGAATCGTCGGCGTTCTTCTGAAGAGAACTGCATTATTTACTTTAACGATCTCCCGTCGCGAGTAATGCGTCGCGACGCGTCTGGCTTACGTCCCCGTGTAATTATAAATCACCTGACTCTTTTTCTCTCTGTCTATTTCTCTTTTGATTTCTATTTCTCTCTTTCCTTACCGCGAAAACTAAAGAAAAAGAAAAATAAGAAGAAGAAGAGTCGACAGTTGACTGGTTGAAATCGTTGAACCATACAACTGGTGATTACGGTGTCATTCACCGAACCTCACTGTTTTCCTTTTTCTTTTTCTTTTTTTTCCTATTTTTATATTTTTTTTTTTGTGTCCTCTCCCCCTATTTTCCAACCCGTTTTTTCTCGTTTCGAACGTCCAACTGATTGGACACATTGCCACTGGTCGACTTCCGATAGTCAGCGGGAATAGTAGTCCGAGGCAGCTTAAAAAAAATAAAATTCAAATAGAATTTGAAATAACATTCGGAAAACGTAATAATGTATATATATATATCGTAACAATTTTCAATAAAATCATTCTAAAACAATTGAATGAACAAATGATTGGGATTCATTGTTATGTTTAACTACCCACTCCCCTTCCCCCGGCCGTTCGAATTTGTTATTCGATTGTAAGTTTTAAATTTGAAAATCATTTGATAAGAAGAGAATTTTTCTCAACGAGACATCATGAATAGGGTTGAAATAGTTTGCAATTCGAGTTATGTAAATGTGTCGTCGTCGTCTTCGTCGTCGTATATTTTTACATTGTTTCACTCGAATAAGATATTATTTTACGATCGTTCACGATCAACCAACCACCTGTCCCTTGTCTCCAGGATATCGAAACGTTTGATTTGGAAGATTTCAAGTATAACAGCGTCAACATGACGGCCTTCCGCTTGGTTGATCTCGAAGAAGCCAAGGTTGCTGAGACGCTTCGACAGATGGAACGTTTCCAACCGATTGGCCATGCAATTCTAAATAAAACCGGTGTTATCCAGGTTGGTAAAAACTTCGAACCAAAAAATGAAACTGCAAATTTTCTTTAAGTCCTAATATTATTAACTCTATAAATTAACGTTGTGCGCGAATAAATTCTTAGATTTAATCAAATTAAAACAAAACAAAAATTACATTTAGATCTCAAGAATTATTAATGATAGATTGGTTTTTTAATGTAATAAAAGAAGAAGAAAAAAAAATAAAGTTTCATGAAATAGTTGAGAATTGGTATTTCCTTTTATACAATTCGAATAATGAAATTTGAAGCGTTCCTTAACTCGATCTCATCCGTAAGTTCTTGCTAACGTAAATTGAGAGGTATATTTCCCGGATGTTACAACTTTTCGAATTATTCTTTCTATTTTACATCCTATCAAAATTGAACTCTCGAATAAAACGAACAACCTTTTCCTTATATTTGACGTCATAATCGTTTCCTTTAGTTATTATTTTAAAAGAGTCGTTATTTTGTGTTCCCAATAGAAAAATTAACCGAAGAAAGAATCCCTTTTGCGAAATATCAAATCTTTTTATATTATATAATATATTATATTTATCTATATGTTATTGTATCACGAATGGTTTAAATATGTTTCAGGCAGAACCAGCTTTGGTGTACGACAGCGTACAAGTTTTTGCCCATGGATTGGCAGCACTGGATAGAAGCCACGATTTAAGACCCGCTAATTTATCTTGCGAAAAGGAAGAACCATGGGACGACGGTCTTTCCCTTTACAACTACATCAATTCCGTACGTACGTTGGTTATCGATTTTTCTTAGGGATCCGATTCATTCGTGAATTCGCAAATAAGTTCAAATCTAATCAAAATTTTCCATAACTTTAGTGCCTATCTACAAAGTCCATCGACGCGAGGAAATATAACTGTTGTTATGCAACGTAGAAACGAACGAACAACCTTAGTGCACTTCTGAGTAGTAACAAGTTTCTCCTTAGATATTCGAGATGAATATTCGTTGGATCGAGACCAATGCGGAATAATAAGAACCGTAACTAGTCTAAAGCTTCCTTCCTTCGAGTATTCTTCATTACGAATACATTAGAAATTCTTAATCTAATAGGATTAATACATCGAAGAGAAATTTTAATAATCCCCTTATATTCGAAGATATTTTTTATGATCTTATTCGAAATACATGTTCATTCGTAATTAAACACGTTGACAAAACTTTACACGAAATATCGCGAAAATTCCGATCATTGGTCTAACGTAAGATCACCTCTCTCCTCCTCCCTCCTCCACCCCTCCAAAAAAAAACTAATAAATCTTCGACAAAATTTCGTATACATCAGTGTTATTACAATAATACGAGAATTTTCTATGTTATTATTTCGTAAGAAAAATCGTAGCTCGTTAAAGAGAAAATCTTTGGATTGAAGACGAGAAAGATAGGAGAGAGAGAGAGAAAAAAAAGTAAGAGAAGGGAAACAAAACGCGAGAAATTGAAACGGTCCGAAAAAAAAAAAACAGAAAAAGAAAGGAATAAGAAAAAGATAAGAAAAAAAAAAATAAGGGAAAAGGTAACGAGCCACGAGGGGAACCGTTCGAGACGAGAAACGATTACTCGGGATATTCGAAAAAAAAAAAGAAAGAAAAAAAGAAGGAGGGAAAAGAAGTTTCCGGTGTTGGAAATATTATGCGTCTCTGACAGGGGGGTGGTTGACCAATTTCTTTTCTATCGATTATCGAACGAATTTAATTGGGTCAAACGAGGTTTCCTCGAGTTCTCGTCATTTCTTTATTAAAATTGCGGGCAAATTTAGGCGTCGTTGTAACAAACTCTCTCTCTCTCTCTCTTTCTCTTTCTCTTCTCGTGAAGTCATCCGAATTCTAACTGACTTGTAGACCAACTCTAACTCTTGGAGAGAGATTCGGGAAGATCTCACTAAAGTTCGTAGACTGGATTATGTCTGGCGCCTCGACGATTCTCCTTCTCTCCCTTTCCCATCTCTATCTCTATCATTCTCTCTTTCTCTTTCTTTATTTATCTCTCTATCTATTTCTAAAGAAAATACCAAAACTAATAGAGAGAGAGAGAGTTAGAGTTAGAGAGTTAGATAATCTGTGAGACAGATAAACGCGTCGATTATACTTACATACATAATCGTGAAGAAAATCGATAGAAAATCCTCAACAAGAAAATCCTCTTTCTGTTAAATGAGTTTAAACGATGTTCCTTATCCGATCGTTTTCCTTGAAAATAAATGTGACAATATTTCTTCTTAACTGCATATAACTTTTTAGGTTATATGTAACACGCGGAATATAACCGAGTACCTCGATACAGATATGGGAATATTATTTTACTCGCGAAAAATATGAATTGAGTATTATTAATAAAATAACAAACTTATTCAAAGAAGAAATTTAAATTCGATATGTCAGGATATATGTAGTTATTGAACAATTACGATGAATAAAACGTACGAGTAAAAATATTGAAACGTATTCGGAAAGAATGACGCATATTTTTGTTTCTTTTTTCCTTTTAATGAGCATTTTTCTTCGCTTTTCTACAATTTCGAAACGGGGGAAACAACGAGGTATATCAAACGACAGGCAGTACGATGAGTGTTTCCAATTCGAACGCGTTGACGAATCGCTAAATGTAAATTTGCCGTATTTTCAATGAGAACGAACGAGTCTTCGCAGACCTTTGAATTCGTACATATTAAATAGACGTGGTTTAAACTAGAAAATGTTTTCAATCGTCTGTCCTATTTTACTTTTCACATTTATACTTTTGTTTAAATTTTTTTCCATTTTATTTGATTTTGTTTTATATTATTTCTTTTTTATAAATTTGTTTCAACATCAACCATTTTTAACTGGTCATGTAATGTAATATTAATTAAACATAAAAGAAATTAATTTACACAGAGAATGTAATATTTTCTTTTTTTTTTTTTTTTTTTTATCAAATTCGTACAAACGATAGTAATTTCCATAACTTTTTGAACCAATTTCATTTATTACGAAGTTTTAATCGCAAGTAAAGAAAAATGTTTTTGTTATATTCCTTTCTATTTAAAAAATATTTTGTCAAATGAATTAATAATATTTCCGAGAAAACGAGAAAGAACAGGGAGAAAAAGAAACTTTACACGTATGTAGGATTAACTTTTATTGTCCTATAGAATTTTCTCGGAAGAAGAGTTGAAAGATAAAAAAAAAAAAAAAACATGGGAAAAGTATGAAAAATAACAGCTTCCGTATGTGGGTGTAAGTTGGCACCATGTAATCCATCCCGTTAGTTCAATTTCAAGCTGTAATGTGAAGTTAATATACGTTCTTACCTTGTGTGTGTTCGTGCATGACATACGAAATAATGTCCCTGTGTGTTCGTAGGAGAAGCTAGAGAGCGTGCTTAGTTTCCTACGTGTTCTATCCTCCTGTATAACGTTTGGATAACATTGTGTTCCGCGTTTATGTACTTACGTAGACGTTAGGAGGGAGATGGTATACTCGAGATAGGTAGAAATAGGAATACAAGTTAACATAGGTTTCACTATACATTCGAGCTATTTGCTAAATACGCTGTTTAATTATTCATATGTCACTGATGCCTTTCCCCCTTAAGCTCAAAGTGAGAAAATTAGATTTAACAATATTCGTTGGAACAATCTTATCCTTTATATTTTATCTCTCGATTATTATTATTATCATTATCATTATTATTAATATTATTGTTCGATAAGAAAAAAGAAATAGAGAAAACACATTCTTTTTTTTTCATATTGAAACAGAACAAAATACAAACTGCATATATATACATATATATTTTAATTATCAACGTAACGATATTACCCATATATATATTGTATATTAATATATTTTTAATTAAAAGCTCGTTCTGCTATTTAAAAAAATAATCGAGGATGAAATTGTGTAGGAAAAAAATCAAATAAAGAATAGGTAATGAATTTTCTCTCTTGACGACCAACATTATCCGAAGCATGCGCGTTCGTTTAGAAAGTTTCGTAGGAAGGAACGAGATGGAAATTGAGTTGTCCGATCCTGACGTTCGCAGACCAGGAAGCGCATCAAAGCGCATCCTGAATCGGCCGAGCACACCGTGTCGGATGCACGTCTTGAGAAACTTACAAGACGGAACGATCGGTGCTTCCTGCAAATTATTCCGTCGACTCATCCCTATCTTTCTCCCTCCCCCACCCCCCTCTCCTCCTCCGTCCTCCTTCTCGTCCCTTCATTCTTTTCTACCTTCTTCCTTTTGTACGGCTTTTTACAAGTTTTTTTTCCTTCCTTTTTTTTGTTTCTTTTCATTCGGTAGATACGGTACGAAGAAAATTGGCCACGTGCTCGAGGATAAGTTCAGAAAAAGTCGAGCGAATAATCGCGAAGCTTCTTCGAGAACAAAAAAAAGAAAAAAACAGAAAAAAATGGTAAAAGAATCACCGAGAGAAAAAGGACTTTTCTATATTCCTTAAGAGAACGTAAAACGCGAATAACCACCACCACCATCACCATCACGACCACCATCACCTCATACACCCTTACGATTCTTTCTTTCTTTCTTTCTTTCTTTCTTTCTTTCTGTCCAATTTTGTGGAAAATCGATCCTCATTGCACTTCCACACTCTTCGAAAGATCTTGATATTTTCTTTTTTTCTTTTTTTACTTCGCCTCCTATTATATTCCTCTTTCTTTTATTTATATTGTTTTAGTTTATATTTAAAGTACATTAGGACATTTTAGGCCCCCCTATCCAGTTGCACTTTCATGTGCAGTTGCAGTTGCATGTGCAGTTGCAGTTGCATGTGCAGTTGCAGTTGCATGTGCAGTTGCATGTGCATGTGCAGTTGCAGTTGCAGTTCCATGTGCATGTGCATGTGCATGTGGCCTCAGCCCCCCTTTCCTGACACACCCCCACCCCTATCCAAGCCCCTTATCCATTCCCAGCCCCCACAATTTAACTCACAACACGATTTAAGACAGTATAGAAAACCTACGGCAGTAAAAAACTAATATGTGCAACTTATAGCTCACTAATATCTCATTGTTAATCCATAATTTTTTGCTCTAATTACTAATTATTTCACAAGTTATTGATAATTAAAAAATTACATTTGAACACTAAAAATGAATTCTATATAATATTGAAATAACAAGCACTATCTAACGGTTCATTTTTGACAATATCTTGAAAGTTACATTGAATAAATTTAGTTTAAAATAATCTGGTGTAAAATAACTGATAAACTTATTATGTTGTAATTTTGACCTATTATTAGACAACTTTCATAATTATGAACACATATTTATCGTTTATATGAACATTTATTTCTAAAGTGAGTCGCGATTCAGAAAATTTATTAAAATATTTTCACTCTTTCGTAATAATTCAAGCAGCTTAATGAAGCTATTTTAAAAATTGTTCACAAATATAAGAACTCATTAAAGAACTCTTGGACATATTTTTTCCGCTATGAAGTTTTTCGGTTCGATATGACTCACACGATTTAAAGTAATTTACATTTAAAACGAAACTATGCTTAACATGCAATTTAAAAATAAATTGTCTGAAAGGATCTTCCTTTTAAATACGTCATATTCTGTTTAAATTATAAAAGGAATTTTAATTAAACATTAAAAAAAACCTTTTTCCTTTTCCTATTTCCGACAAGTTAATAAAAGGCAATCGATGCCAATTAAAGATTAGTTCCACGAATAAACGATTTCTCATTGGTAAAGTTTTACAACCGATAAGGATTTCGAATGACGAATATTACATATGTACGAGAAAGAAAGGGAGTATGAAAGAGAAAGAGAGAGGGAGAGAGGGTGGGATAGAATTCGACCAGATATCGATGGTTGGGTGCGATAGGGGGATGGGGTACCAGATAGCATCCATAAATTAGACGTATCGCGAACAGACTTTCTCGTTCGTAGGCCACGGGTGCTAATTAACACGAATCGTACGATAAGTTAAAAAACAAAAACGTTTACATTGTTGAATAATATATCATTTGTTGTTGTTCTCATTAGATTACTCTGAGAAAGAATTTGATATCGTCGGTGATACGTTCGGTTTAAATTTTCATTGGAAATTTTTTAAAACAAACTACTTTCCCTCCCCCTCCCCACCGACCCAACTCGCGTCAATTAGAAAAATAATATTATTGATAATGAATCGGGATCGAACGTAATCGAGCTCCAGAAATTTCTGCTGCAGGCAGGCTTACATGGGTTAACCGGACGTATAGAGTTCAACGAAGGCAAGAGAAATAATTTCAAATTGGATCTACTAAAGTTGAAGAAGGAAGATCTTGTGAAAGTAGGAGAATGGAAGCCTGGAAGTGGCGTTAATATCACGGATGTGGGTGCCTTTTATGAAACGACGGCGACGAATATCACCCTGGTCGTAATGACAAGAGAAGTAAATCATATTACAATTGAATTAAATATTATTCATCTTAGGATATGAATAAAGTACTAATACCTGATTATTTGCAAGAAATTAATCAAAAATCAAATATTATATTACGAAATGAAATATTATTTCTAGAAATGTTCAATGATATTATATTCGAACCCGTAATTAATGAATTTCCATCGAATCATTTCCATTTTCGAAAATATCATTTCCACTATAAATATATCTTGATTGCTTCATCAAGTTTATTGTTTATTACCGAATTTATTATATATATCGCGAATCGTTAACATTATATTTGTTTTCATGATTGTATATACTATATAAATATAAAAAAACACAAACTTATGATACATGTTTTATTACATTCGCGATAGCAATGTTTCATTTTAAAAGCTTTATAAATGAATTGCATCCATTATTCAAGATAAACACGACATGTACAGATAAATTGGAGATTTACAGAATGAATAATGTAAAGGTCATACATTCGAACTGCGCTTTAATTATAAGACAATGAACGAAAAAATATGTTTAATATTTTCATATATCATAATTTCTTATTTATCGTTATAAATTTTTACTCCTAATTCATACTTATTGTATACTTAGAAGAAACATTTTGATATGTAGTCATTATTTCTAACGAGATTTATATTTTTTTTTTTTTCATAGGAAAGACCATACGTAATGGTAAAAGAGGATAAAAATTTAACTGGAAATGCAAGATTCGAAGGTTTTTGTATCGATTTACTCAAATGGATTGCCGGTCAAGTTGGTTTTCAGTATGTTATTCGTCTAGTACCTGACCATATGTATGGAGTTTATAATCCTGAAACCAAAGAGTGGAATGGCATTGTACGCGAACTTATGGAAAAGGTAAGCCACATATCGAATTTGATGTTATTATAAATATCTATATTAACGAATATAATGTCTAATGAATTATTCTATCGTATTCCATAATATGAAATATTATAATTTATATGAAGTAATAAAAGATAATATATACATATATAGGAAAAGCGAAATATAATAAAGTTATGTATAATAAAAAAGAAGGTGGTAGAAAAAGTAATATCGAAAATCGGTAAAGTCATGTTCATGAAGAAGGCGAAGGTTAATTTTATATGTAAAACAGTCCCCGACTACCAACGCAATAAATCTGCCCTCCGAAAGAAAATTCATTATGCATACTGCCACACAACGATCATCTAATTTAATGTCTCCCTTTAAAAAAAAAAAAAAAAAAAAAAAGTAAAAAGTAAAAAATAGAAAAAAAAAACCTACGTATCTCCAATATTCCGATTCGCAGAGATCGGCTGACAGATGTTACACGCGCTATTTGAATTGTAAAAATACCGACTTACTGAAATTAAAATCCGATACGTATTTACCCACGTGGATACATATATTTTTCTTGTTCTTTTTTTGTTTCAAAATATTACTTTTCTTTTTCCTCGAACTTTCAAACGAAAACGTTCTGTTTAAAACGCATTGAATATTTTACAAGATATTTGACGGATTATATTCTTATATACATATGCGTGTATCTATTATGCATATTTATTTGTCAACTTATTTGTGATCTTAACAAATAGATTTTTCGATTGAAAATATAAAGTTAAAATATATGTTATACGACGAGCAATATTTGACTATTTCGGTAACACTTTTAGGTCAACGTTTCTTTCAGAAGCATTAAAAAAGAGATATGGACAAAAAGCACTCCTTCGAAAGGCTTCAAATGAGCATACTTCGAACGTAGAGAAGAAAATTACAGTACTTCGCTGTTGCATTTCGATGTTATAAAGGCATAAAAGATGTTAGTGAAATACTTTAAAAGCACAAAGAGACTTTCCAAAGTCTCATTTATGCCGTTCTAAATATTTTATCGAATTTCAAGTGTTTGTGCAATAATTATCATAAAGTTCAAACGGTTAAATTATATAGATGTCACATTTTAATATTTTATTTTTAATAGCATCTTACTTAATTATTATCTTCAATTAAAATATAATTAATTTATACTCTCTAATAATAATAATTAAGAGCTTCTTGTTAAATTACTCAATTAATTGTTTAAATTAAACTAATTTTATATAAGAAGCTGTAAAGAGAAAAAGGAATAATTTCTCCACATCTTTCTTCGAAAAATAAAATGATTCAAAAATTCAACGAGAGAAGTCTCGTTTGACGAGGGATATTAAAAATTACTATGGAAATAAGTTCACCTATAAATCTTAAAGGATTCGCGTCTTTCGCGGTAATAATAGTGCCGACTAAGCAACTTTCTTAACCCCAAAGATCAGCGTTTTCTAAAAGATATAGAGGCATCTGACCTTCTTAAAAAAAGAACGGCACATTAACCTAGAAAGCACGTTTACTGTGAGTGCCAGAAAAAAAAAAAAAAAAAAAAGGGGAACGTTCTTTTATAAGTCATTCATATTTTTCCTTTCCTATTATAAATCATATATATATATATATCTGTTCGTTTATTAAATAAATATAAGTAACTTGAAACTACTCTTGAAAATCAAAAGTATACTTTACCGAGTCGTATCATCAAATGTTTTTCCTTATAATTACATTTTATTATTATTTCTCAAAAAGTAGATTCCTTCGAAAGTATTAAAGATAAATATTGAAATAAAAACTAAGATGTTATATCGTATTTCGTTTGTAATTTACAGAGAGCAGATCTCGCAGTAGCTTCTATGACGATCAATTATGCCAGAGAAAGCGTGATAGACTTCACGAAGCCTTTCATGAATCTTGGTATTGGAATCTTATTTAAGGTGAGGTAACTTTAATATTATTACTGTGTATTTTTTTTATTTTTGATTTCTTTTTTTTTTTTTTATACATCTTCTTCTTTTTCTTTCATTATACGATTCATCTAATTTAATCAAATTGAATTCGTATAAATTATTGATTTTATAGCATAGTACTCTAACGAACGGAGAGATTATTGTTTTTGTTGAAATAATATAATAAGCTCAATGTTAATTAATAGAATAGCTTATTAAAATTGTATTAATAAAAATTACATTAAAATTAAATAATTTTCTGCATAGTCGGATTACATATTCATAAAGTTTATTACTTTGGAAATTAGTTATTTATACGTTGTTATATTTCCTATTACAAGTCATGTTACCATCAAAATTACCATTATTAACCCGAAGTTAATGAAATAAACTCATACATATTTTAATGTACATATTTATATAATATATAACCAATTGATAAATAATAATGGAATATTTGTGGGTCTCCTCAATTTGGTCATGAAATAAACAAATATTATTATATAATATGACTACAAAGATTTACTAATATAGAAAAAACAATTTTCTATTTTATTTTTTAAAATAGATCTTTATCATATATGAATAAAATTTTAATCACAAGCTTTTCCAATTCCGATATGACAAAATAATATTGTCTATATGCAGAACAGAGCTTTTAAAATTGTTTAAAATTTTATTTTAAATTTACTTTTAGTCATTATTTAACTTTTATATTTAAAATAAATCTCTTTAAATAATAAAGTTTAATATCCACAAATGAGAATAATTTTTCTAACCGTTCAATGATAAATGATATGACATATTACTTTATTTTTTTGTTAAATTCTATTAAGCAAATGATTAATTCATATATCGATCTATATAAAACTGGTAGTAATTTAATGGTGAAAATTTGAATATTTGCTATATAAAAAAATTAAAAAAATCCTTTTTTCTTTACATATCCCTATCTTACAGTATTCTAATCTTTATGTGTCAAAATATAATGATAATATTTAATATTTTTTTTAAATCATTTTTATATTATAAGAATATTTTCTGAGTAGATAAATAAAGAGAGGATTATTTCTCCTTGAAAATGGTCTTGGTTTCAATTCTCTATGACATTCCATTCGAAAGTTATATCCATTTTAATTTTTCATTCATAATTCTCAATAATCACTTGATACGCGTGGTAGTAGTAGCGCGCGTACGCATAGCGTAGTAGGGTAGTATAAACAACTGAATTCTAAGAATTTATGTAGGTCACTGTGTCAACGCCTATTTATGAAAGAAATTATATAGGTCAATGGGTTAACATAAATCATTTTTATTTAAATTGAAATATCTCTGAAAATAAAAATCATAGAGACTTCAAACAAAGACCATATTAAAGGATAAATTCTTATCCATTATACAATTATATCAGAAATTGTTTATTAACAATTTGTTATAAACAATTTGTTATAAATAATAGTCAAAAGTTATTTTTATCCCGTAAGTCGTATTGCTATCGAAATATTATATAGCTATAAATTTACTAATTTGTTATAAACAATTTTTTATAAACAATTTAATGTTAAAAAAAAAAAATAGTGAAAAAATATGTGTTAATAATTCCATCATCGCATTATTCATAATACTATCGTTGCACTCAATTATAAATTTCATAAATTATTATAATCAATTTGTGTATGTGTATTATATAAACAATTTATCAGAAATTTTTCGAAAGAAATAATTCTAACAAAACACTAACGCTTTATAATCTACAAATATTTAATATATAAAAACGAAACAAAAAATTTATATTATTAATAATTTTCATAAAAAATATTCTTATACAATAAATAAACATTACTACTCACTAAATAATTTGATTTATCGACAAAACAACGATCGACCAATAGAATACTGTAAACTAAGGATAATTTCGTCAACTAATCACCAATCTATGCAAATATTTCTATTTCGCGAGATTCTTTTTAATTAAAATCGTAGCATAACGTTATTTAGGTACCCTCCAGTCAGCCAACACGACTGTTCTCCTTCATGAATCCATTGGCTGTGGAGATTTGGTTGTACGTATTGGCTGCGTACATGCTAGTTAGCTTCACACTGTTCGTGATGGCAAGGTTCAGTCCTTATGAGTGGAACAATCCGCATCCCTGTTTAGCGGATAGCGACGTCGTCGAAAACCAGTTTAGCGTTAGCAACAGCTTCTGGTTTATCACCGGTACTTTCCTCAGGCAGGGCAGCGGACTCAACCCCAAGGTACACTAAACGAGGTGCTCCACCATTGCACTACTTCTCTAACTTTTGCCTAACCACTACCACCCCCATCCCCTACTCTGACCAACACACTCTCTTACCATTCTCCTTCAACTGCTAACTTACTTCCTTGGTTTCTCTCTCTCTATCTCTCTCTCTCTCTCTCTCTCTTTCTCTCTCTCTCTTTTTCTAGCCCTTTCTCTTTCTTTCCCTTTCTCTCAATCCATCACTGTTCAACGTATTTCCTAAGCACGTCCACTTTCCTTTGCTTTTACGGGTGTTTGGTCGGTAAATATTCTTCTTGCTCGCATATATAACTTTGCTTTTTTTAAACCCACCAAACATCTCTGAAAACTCTTCTCATATTTGCTAGGTACTGGAAAATTTTCAATCGTTTTTGAAACTATCCATAACCGTTAGAATTCTACTAAATGAACTCACGAAGGATATACTCGAATTATCTATGATCCAATTGTTCTAATGTTTTTTTTCTTCTTTTTTTTTTTTTTATATATTGTACAATATATGTACTTGCATTATATTTACGATAAGATCGAGCCTAGTTTTTATTGTAAATATATATGATTGGTAGTAATTGAAAAGAAAAAAAAATGAAACAAGACGACAATTATTAGATCACCCGTAACCAATAGCTTCTCTTACTTACGATTGGTACTCTTATGCAACGGTGCAATGATCTCAACTTCAATGTAAACGTGTCACTATAGAGTTACCGGGTTTCGCAACTTTTCAATCTATATCGACACACTATCGACTTCCTCGTAATCGTTTTTGTCCATTTACGTATACATACAGATAGAAATTTGTAATCGAAATATATATCTCGAAAATTTATCTTGAAAAATATACGACGTTCCTTGGATGTTATTTTTCAAAGTTGGACGGAAGATGAAATTGTAAAAAAAAAAAATATTATCGACTATTTTATATATATGTATTTACGTAACACAAAAACATATATAAATAAGTTGATAAAAAAGATGAAGAATTGAAGACATAAGCTGAGTTTGCATCGGCGAACATCCTAGTCGAGACGACCACGATCTACGTGAGCATCACGGGAAACGATAAATCGTGGCTGAGTTTGTCATTGCATCCTAGATGCACATTGCAGCTGAGCACCCGATGTTGAACCGTCGTATTTTTTTATTACCTACCTTTAACGTAGTACCTAAAATTTTGTTTTTCTTTCTTATTCTTCTGTTTGTTTGTTTTATTTTTTGTTTGTTTTTCTTTTATTATCATCATCCACGCGTTTTACGATATACCAAGTTAAAGAGAACAAATATTCTTATTCTAACTTTTATCGAGATTGTACAAACACGATAATAATCTCACTCGCGAATCGTTAATTCGATAAGTCATTTCGATTTCCATACTAATCGACTATTCAACGTGATACTTGCGTAGTACAATTTTATGTACGTGCCTGCCTGTGTATACATAGTTATTTTCCCATGTAACGTTAAATTGGATTTTCGATAAACGGAAAGTATAGGAGTATAACATATATGCGAATGTTGTACAAATGAAAATCATTCAAGAACGTTATTGTTGTATTTTCTGTATCGTTTTCCATACCACCCACAATTTTAACCATCATGAACGTAAACTGTGAGAACCAAAGTGAACTACGAAAAATTAAACTCGTTATTACACACAAGCGTATTATTTTTTGTAAAACGAGTTACGCTTATACCGCGTTTATACTATTTCAATCGAGTACAACCTTCATTTCAGTAGAGGTGCAAAAATATCCATTGCATAAATGATGATTAAATCGTAAAATGTGAGTGCATTGAATAGAAATCGCATACGATTCTTTAGGGACACGCGTATATTGAACACGCATTTGGTGCAACATATATTTACGTTGTTAATTTAATAATTTATTTACGTGTTAAATACATTGCTTATTTACAAGGTACTGCAAACGAGATCCTTTATTTGTTATTCATTTTAATTATAAAAATTCTTTATTATTTCTTTTTTTTATTATTTATTATTAATGAATATGATAAAATATATATAGAGAAAAGTGTTTTTCTTCTATTTCCTTTGCTAAAAAAAAACAAGAACGAAAAATAATTGTCGTCTTGTATAAGATAGAAATATATTTAATTTTTCTTTTAAACGTATGAATCGATTCTCTAAAAGGAAATTCGTTGAAAGTGCAACGAACGCATAAAGAGATATCGTATTATTACATTCTTGGAATATCACGAAGATATAAACTTCGAAATATAGACACGATTATACTATACCTTAAATTTGAAAAGCCTTTTGGCTTTCATGAATTTTCGATTTATTTTCCAAGTATATCGGTGTACCATAAAATAGAAAGACATCTAGAATGATATGAAACGAGAAGTCGAATGAACGGATCTCACAGTGTTTAAAATAGCTCTCTCAAATTTTAACGAATGATCTCAATGGTAAAAGAAGAGAAGAGAATAGAAGAGAAAAAAAGAGAAGAAAAGTAAAGAGAAAGAAAGGAAAAAGTTTAGCCTTTAATGGGAAAGGCGCGAATAGTCCAGGAGTTTCATTTTAATGCACCGTAGTTTCGATTTTATCGCTCGACGAGTTTGTTAAATTAAATCGAATCTATTGCCGAGGGGTCTATCCCTTTATCGAGCATTATTTAACAGTTAAAACAAGAGAAAAGTTTATCAGAAATTATCCTTCGACTTTTCCAAAGTGAACTGCTCATCCCTATCACAATTCGGGTTTATATTCCTAATAAAATTTCACAACCAGCTTTGTTGCAACGAAATTTTTTACTACGACTAATTCGTATTTAATTTGAAATTTCTTTCGGAAAAACATCGAATTTATGTAAACGAGTAAATTGGCGTTCCCATTTCTTATACACTTAACGATTGGATAAGTAATAGATTTACAAAAATGACACTTTTGTGTTAAATAATAAATAATTGACGATAATTAGAATAAAATTGCAACGAGAGAAAAATAGAAAAAAAAGATACAACAATTCATTCGTTAAGTGTTAAGATTTATAAATTATTACTTTCGGATGTGAAGTTTTTTTTTTGTTATAAAAAAAAAAAGAGAAAAAAACAAAGAATAAAATCGGGGTATATAAAAAATGACCGCAATCGTTATCGAAGATTGCTCGCAAATTTCTTTTTCTTCGTTTGGCATAAAGGATCCTCGTTACTATCTTCCTCAGGCAACCAGTACGAGAATAGTCGGTGGAATATGGTGGTTTTTCACTCTTATAATAATCTCCTCGTATACGGCGAATCTCGCTGCCTTTTTAACGGTTGAAAGGATGATAACGCCGATAGAAAATGCAGCGGATTTGGCGGAACAAACCGAGATATCTTACGGCACTTTGGAAGGTGGCAGTACAATGACATTCTTTAGGGTGAGCCTAAAAAATATATTTTTTTTAAATATTTAGAGTATAGAAAAAAAAATAAATAAATAAATAAAAGAAAAGAATTGCATTCAATATATTAAATTATCATTTGGATTTATTTTTCTCGTCACTTGTAATCAAAATTCTCTTCTCCTTATTTCATTGTCAGGATTCGAAAATTGGAACTTATCAAAAAATGTGGAGATTCATGGAATCAAAAACTCCCTCTGTTTTTGTGAAAACATACGAGGAGGGAGTTAAGAGGGTACTAGAGGGTGATTACGCATTTCTCATGGAATCTACGATGCTTGATTATGCAGTCCAGAGAGATTGCAATTTAACACAAATCGGAGGTTTATTGGATAGCAAGGGATACGGAATTGCAACGCCAAAAGGTAATTTCGAACAATGTAGATGCATTAAATTTTCATGTAGAAACCAGCCACTTCTTATTATTATTTCTGTTATTATTTTGCTTGTAATATTTTCTAGAATTGTTGGTTATTTAACCACCCACATTTTTTTTGTTATATATATATATATATATATATATATATATATATATATATATATATATATAACACGAAAATACATCTGGCAATGAAAAAACTTGAAATACATACCTACCAACATACCGACCACCTTATTCAAACTAGCCTTTACAATCATGCTTCTATGCAAAAAGCTTTTCCAACAAGATACATGTAAAAACGGAACACAAAGGTGCATCCTCTATTTTGCCTAAACTCGGTAGTTCTTTTAATTGCAAATACGTGTTTGCATTGGAATTGTCCATAAAAAAAAGTACACGCTAAAGTTATTGCCAAGAACTATTCATTATATCTTCTTGTCTATTTTTATTTAAAAAAAAAAAAATTAAATAAAACATAAAAGTGTTGAAATCAATCAACATAACTGTCGTATAATTCTTTTTAAAGTTTAACCAACAGAAAGAAAGAAAGAAAGAATAAAAAAATGAAATAATCTCGTCGGGATTACGCTAAGAAGCACCATTTTAACCAAAGCTTTATTCTCCTCTTGTAGATATAAAGAAACTGAAGAAAGATGTAGAAATTAGAAAAGAAAAAAAAAAAAGAAAAAAAATAAGGGAGTGGAAAAAGATAGTAGATAGAACACATAGCTAGGTAGAGCAAGTCGCGAGGAGAATCCTTGACCAAACTAACGAAGGCTTTTTATATGCAGGCTCACCCTGGAGGGATAAAATATCTCTGGCCATTCTCGAGCTACAGGAGAAAGGTGTAATACAGATCCTCTACGATAAGTGGTGGAAGAATACGGGAGACGTGTGTAACAGAGACGAGAAAAATAAGGAGAGTAAGGCTAATGCTCTTGGGGTCGAAAATATCGGTAAGAAGATTTTTATAAATAATATAAATGCACACACACACACATATATATATATATATATATATTTTTTAATAAATTTCATTCTTATAAACGTTTAAGAGAAAAATATAAAAATTTTGATAACAAATAATTACCGCGAGTGTTCTCTCTTTTTCTTTTTTTTTATAAAAAAAAGATTTAATAACAAAATCTATTATGATTCTCGTACGGCATGTAAAACGAAAAAAAAAAAGAAAAAAAACAAACTGCACGGGAAATATAATCGATCCTACAACGGGTCGTCCTCGTAAATTCATTCTACTGTACCACACAACAAATGATAGCGAGCAGCGTACGAGTTAACATGCAAATGCTTGACTACATACTTCGAAGGTAAATCTAAAGGTGGTACATAAACTCGTAGATCGTTTCAACCAGAAACATCGTATTTACGACGACTTTGGGAAATTTAGAAAGCCTCAAATTCACCTAATCAACCCTAAAGTTCTATTTTATAATATAAGCGTCTATCAAATGAGAGTCCTGATTTGCTTGCTTTCATTGTACTACAATTGTATTGTTTCCATTATTGTAAATGGATAAACGTATGTCTATGATTTCGAAACGTTAATACGATGGATATAATTTAAACGTCGGGAAATAATTTCAATGTTGGGCGGAAAATTTGAAATTATGGAGACACAAAAAAAAGATAACGAGAAGGAAAATATAATATATCTTTTACGTTCGTACGAAATATGAAGTTTGTTGTAGTTCATGTAAGACAAGGTCTAGTTAAACAATAAAAAGATAATGCTTTCTACCTTAAAAACATTCCCGAGAAGAATAGAACTTTATATTTTCCTTATTTTCAGTAAGTTTTTAGTAGGAAGATCCACCTCCTCCTCCTCCTTTCTAAGAAATCTTACCTTATGATCTTTTCCTTCTCGGTTCTTCTTCTTCTACTTCTTTTTCTTCTTCTTCTTCTTCTTCTACTTCTTCTTCATTTTTTATTTTTACCTTCAACCTTAGCCACCGTACTTCGTAAATTAGATAAGTATCCACTTTAGCAAGTGGTGGGAAGATACTCGACAAGAGTGTAAAGAGGTCTACGCGACTTTACCAAGAAAAATACTACTAAATTGTAGAAAAACTGCTAATTGCATGTTTCGACGATAACTCAACTACCGTTTTCCTGGCCCTTGGAGAACCTAACACGACGATGCTAGGCTATTTACCTCTCGGTCTTACCTCTAAGCTGGAAATTCTCTTCTCTTCCGTTAAAAGTCACGTGGAATATAAGAAAAGATGAAACTTCAAAAGAAAATGAAAAAAGAAAAAAAAGAAATAAATAAATCGATCATCGAACAAAACTTTAAGAACTTCTTTGATGAACAAAAATTCCCTCGCGGATAAAAAAATAAAAAGAAAATAAAAAGAATTAGGATTCAAAAATTGTTTCTCTATATTTAGAACGTTTTAATTGTTTTCCCCCCCCCCCAGTCCGTTTTACCAGATATTTATATTCCTTTTTAACTTTGAGACAAATTTTTCTCGCGATCAACGAGACGGAAAACTGTCGCGTTTCACTTGGGAAAACCTACTGGAAATTGCAGACGTGCTACTAATTGCTCTTTTGCCAAGACGATGCTCTTGTTTATTTTCAGACCAGAGTAAATGTAACATCTTATATTAGCTGTCGTCTTATATTCAAAGTTTTACCTGTAACCGCGTACAACCTTTTAACAATTTCTTGCATATCATCGTTTTGACAACATACTCGTGTATAATATTTTTCTAGCAAACTATACTATCCATGTGATTACAAGTAAACGTTTAATTATCTAATTAAATTTTAATTGAAAATTATTATATATATATATATAAGCAAACTTACCAAGCAAAACTACTATTAGCATTGGTTTAACTTATAACATCGTAACTTCAGACATACCGAATTAATTCCACAAATATATTCTGCAATCAAATATCTGCTTTTAGGTTTAATGAACCTACCTATAGGAAAGCTTTGAATCATCATGAGAAAACGATAATGAACAAGCTAAAATGTTATTTTCATTAAAGATATCAAACGTATATTACGAAATAGTTAAGTTTGTGCATCGTCCAATCAACGATAAATTTAAATCATATTAATCGAGGTTTCAATAAATTCGATTAGAAAATGTTATTCTATCTTATATATTAAAAACGTATCACTTAAATTGGATTACCTACATTTCGATAATATTTAACCAATAATTTAACAATGACATTTAACGAAACTCTGGGCAAAGAGTTAGAAAGGAATTCTCCAGGTCATTCATACTAAATCCAATCTTCGAAAGTCTTACTCCATTAATTTCCCAGTAATTATAACTTGAGAAGGTTTCTATGAACTTTCGCGAGAAAGGTTTGCGTAACTCGAGTCTTCCTCATGGCTAGTATTTACTTGTGTTTCTGTAAAGTACGTTGAAAAGGGATCTCATAGAATTCCAGGATCTTCCCAAAGTTCTGACATGCTTTTTGTTATCTTTGATCAGGAAAAAAAAAAAAAAGGAGTAATATAAGAGAACTGCACGTGTACAGTGAACGACAAAAGTAATTCGTACTCGTACTCGTTGCAAACTTTCTCATCGGTTGCGTGTCAAATTTTACTTCACTCATAATGAAATGTTTTTTTTTCTACAATAAAATATATATCAATTGGAAAGTTTAACAATCCTGAAATAAATTTCTAAAATATTGATTGTTTTAAATGAACAATAGGTGTACGAATATTTCTGTGATTCACTTTACATAGTTGGATCTATTGCATACACATAGATAAGTACATTTATACAGCCATGCGCACACATATATACACATATACGTATATATAATAAATAGATGTATATAAATTCATCCGCGACGGTCCGCGAAACTTGTTCTCTTCCGGTGATACGTCGTGAATGTCACGTAAATCACGCTTTACACGGTTATGCAAATCTTACTTGAGTCCTTTTCTGACCATCTCTGGGGGCGTAAATGTCGCACGAAATTCATTATGGGCAAGGAAAAAGTAAAAGAAAAAGAAAAAATAAAAAAAGATATTACCTTGGCAGTAATAGCACCGTATCCAACAACTTACGCGTCCTTCATTTACTACGTGCAGTAACTTTTTCATTCCCTATTTCTGGTTTTTTATTTTTTATTTTTTATATTTTATTTTTTTTACGAATCTGTTATCAGTACAAACCAAACGAGGAGAACTTTCAACGAGATGATGGAGACATGCGAGAAGAAGAAGAAAAAGAAAAAGTAGGAAAAAAAAAAGGAAAAACTTTAGTTTCTTGATAAAATACGTGCAAGTCGTTGCGATCGTCTTCTTTTCGTTCGAGTCTTTTCTCGAAAAAAAAAAATAAAAAATAAAAAAAGCAAGCGAGAGGAGTTCATTAGCGCGAAAGAATTTGAAGAGGAAACGCGTGTCTCTCTCTCTCTCTCTCTCTCTCTCTCTCTCTCTCTCTCTCTCGTCGTATTTCTTTTCGCTTTTATAAAAGAATTTCTAAAGTTTTTCCTCGTTCATGCGCAACAAACTTCTTGTCATCGATGAGTAGGAACTAACTTTGAAAAATTTTCACTTCATAACTATAAGTCGTATACAACTTGGTCTCACAAATTTACGAAACATAGTAGAACAAGTATTATCGGTTTGGATAATACAGGATTTTACAAAATGTTGGGAACGATTAGGATGTTTATATTATCTCGATAATTATGATAACGAACTGAGTGAAGAATGAATAAATTAAAAATTCATTACGATCATAAATTAACGTAAGATAAACAATGAATAAGATGGAATAAATAGCACGACGAGCATTACCGATTCGTTTGTTAAAATACTGGAACAAAATGAAAAAGGGTAATGATTAATTGTTCGAATTATATGAACGCAATTTGAAAGAAAATGTTTTCGAAAATGTCACCATTTCGAAGCTAATACCGCAGGGAATAAAATAGTTTGCTACATACGAGTCACGATACGATGCTACTCTTCTTGGATATTGCTCGCACGATTTTCTCTTCTACCTTATCCCCACTCTTTTCTTTAGTTTACTTCACTTTCATATATATATATATATAAAAAGAGAAAGAGAGAGAGAGAGAGAAAAAAAATATATATATATCTTTCATTCTTTCCCGCAATTCAAACTTTTTCTCTTCGGACTTTTCCCTCAACTTTCCTTTGTAAAACTTTTTCGAACAAAAAGGAAAAACGAAAACTATGAAGAAGAATAAGAAAAGGAAGAAGGAATAAAGGAAGGAAAAGCAAAAGGAAAGATAGAGAGAATAAAAGAATGAGAAAGAGAAAGTGAGAATAGAAAGAGACATAACGAAGGGTGTAAGAAGGGATAAAGAAACATGAAGGGATGAAATAAAGGAAAAACAAGTAACGGTGCAGTATTTCGATGTTCGTGGAATCTGCCAGCGGTTAAGGTCGAAAATCCGAAAGCATTTCGCGTGCGGAATTAGAAATAGAAAAGGAATAAAAAAGAGAAAAAGAGAGAAATACAGGGGGGGGGGATGGGAGAGGGAGAGAGAGAGAGAGAGTCAGCACTAAAATAATGAACTTGCACTTTTTGTCATTCTAGGTGGTGTCTTCGTCGTGTTGCTCTGCGGTCTTGCTTTAGCGATCCTAGTGGCTATCCTCGAGTTCTGCTGGAATTCCAAGAAAAACGTTCATTCCGACAGGGTAAGCAAACTTCATCCCCTTTCAACGCCGATAATTGCGCAAAAGTTTTCTCTCTAGTTTCTCTCTCGTTAAGTCGCTCGGTGCATGACGAGCGAAATGAAATTTTTTCCTCATCCTGTTGACCCTACTTATAAACCGTTTTATATACCCACATATATTTTGTTCTCAATGTTGATTTCAATCATTAGATTTTAATGACACATAATTATAATCGGCCAGTCATTTTCTACGATAATAAGAAAAATCAAATGTTTGAAATAATTCATTTTTTGAGAAGGATATTTGAAGGGATGATAAAAAAATTATCGTGGGTCCCTTATTTTTTGTTTTTCTTTTTTTTTTTTTGATTGTTTTTTGCATGCGATCGAATGACGGTTATGATTTTATTTGTGTATTGTCTCTTGGTGTTGCTGTACCCGCTGGATTCTTCGATGACCTACACGATCATCATCGATGGTAACAACGACGGTAAACGCACGCGCCACGTTGTACTCTTGTCCAATTATCCATCGACACGTTTCTTTTCTTTCCCTTTTTCCTTTCCTTTTTCCTTTCCTTTATTATTTCTTTTTCCAATACGTTATATACAATTAAACAAACACGCATACAAAACGCATATACACACTGCCATCGCGTCGTGCTTGCATGCGGTATATGACGGGACACGGAACGGAATCTGCAGTCACTGTGTGCCGAAATGTTCTCGGAATTACGATTCGCCGTCCGTTGCGGATCTCGGCAGAGACCAGCTTCCAAATCGCGGAATTCCTCGGTCCCAGTATCCTGCGGCAGATGCAGTCCTCGTTCCACAAGAAGAAGAACGAGATATTATTCAAGCGGACACGAAGAAACAACCTACGTACCCAGCTTGGATATACCTAGGTTAAATGGTGTAAGTCCTGTCCCTCATAAAGGGCCCGATCGATCAACGTTCCTTATTCTTTCGATTAATTATTTCAAATTTTTATATAACAAGATAAATGAATATGCAAACGCGATTCACAAGTGCTGGAGATTATTTCTTTTTTTTTTCTTCCCTAATCTTATACGATTCATTATTTATATATCTTGAAAGATATTTAACTTTTTCTTCCCTTTCTCTTATCAAAAAGGTAAGAGAATCACGAGTCTCGTACGAAAGGAGAAACGTAGAAAAGGGGACAAGTGATAAGGGTGGAATAGTTACTTCGAGCACGAACGAGTCGCATTTCTCTCGAAAGAATAAGATTCGTTGTTCGCAAAGCCTGTACTCGTTTTCATGGTATGTAATTCGATTTCAACTACTCGGTAACTTACAAAAATCTTATTCTCTCTTCCACAAGAAGGAAAATAATCTTATTTGGTGAACGTTATGAACAAAAAAATAATACGTAATACGCTGTGAGAGACCAAAATTGGAGAATGTCAAAATTCACATTGTTTTTTGCTGTACAAGAATAAACCCAAATATTCGTTTTTTTTATCGACGTATTTGATATGTGCTGACGAACGACCATGTGAATCTTGACATTCTCAAATTTGGATCTTTCACGGTATATATATATTATATTTTTACATTCCTTTCGATAACAATGAAGATATTACTATTTGTTACCGTGAAAACATAGTACTAGCACTCATGGACCCAGTCATTTTCTTAACTCTGACAGGTAAGCTCGGATTATAAGTCACTCTAGAGCACGAAGGAAAACTGAATTCCGTCATGAATATCAAGGAAGTATCGTAAATAAGAGTATCATTTTATTCGTAAATTATATTTCTGTGTATTTTCGCATCTATTTGTCTCTCTCTCTCTCTCCCAATTTATTTTTCTCTTTCTTTGAAAAATGTATCTTTATATTTTCGTTTCCTCTATTAAAAGTATTTTTTTGTCGTTATCCCTAGTGGGGGCAAACAACGAGAAAAACACATCATTTGCAAAAAATAATATTTTCAAGCGTTCATTCTGTTTATCTTTATTTTTATTTCAATAACAAATAATTATTAGCTTTATGTGCATTAATGTAATAATTACAAAAATTATCGATATCAAACATGTAGAATTTCTATATAGATAAGAATAGCCTTTTGTGTATCGTTGAGATATCTATATTTATATATATTTCACGTTAAAACGAGCCGTTCAAAAAGAGGTAGGAAAGGAACGTCCTGAAGCGTAAAAAATTCTTACCATCTTGGAAAAAGGAAAATCCGTGAATAGTGCTCGTGATCGGTACGGAAGTGATTTTTCCAGACCAGATCACACATTCAAGATCATCATCCGACCTATGAGCGGTGGGTGGATAGGTGAAAGGAAACGTTGCCGTTAAAGAGATGAAAATAAATATAAAAAAAGAATGACTTTAATATAGGAATACGATGTGCGATATTTTACACACTAAAAAAAGTAAAATTTGCGCGTGCGTGTGCGTGTGCGCGTACATGCGCCTGATCGTGTATACTTCTTACATTATTTATGGAAAGCAAACACTGCAGATGAAAGTAAACAGGGAAATTGATTACGAACAAGTTATGAAATTTCACTATTTCAGTCTACTGTTTCCTCTTACTAGCGATCTTCTCTCATCGTGTACCTGTCACCTCGATTTAAAGTTTAATCACAATCGGGGGAAGTTAGGAACGGCGTCTCGATTTAGCCTCATCGGTGAATTTAATCGAAACTGCTAGGAGAATTTACGGGAAAGGTAAAGGTGGGGGGTGGGGGTTGAAATTGAACATGTTGCGATTAAAATTTTAATGAAACGAGAAAGAGAAAATAAAGAAAAAGGGATAGGGGAAAAAAATGATATCGATAATCGATACAAAAGTCGAATACCAACGACGAATTAATTGTTGTTAAAAATGAACGATACGATAAAATAATAAAAATAATTTATATATATTGAGATAGACTCCGAGATATATATATAACTGACACGTGTTATTCGTTGATTTATCAGCAGGAGGGTGGTGCATTGCCGATGACGGAGATGAAGAAATCATTGAGCTTCGATCAAGTGGGGGCGGCCCGTGGCGGGAACACCTAGCACAGGCCTCATCCTCATCCTCGTCCTCAGCAGCAGCAACAGCAGCAACAACAGCAGCCGCAACAACAGCAGCAGCCACCACAGCCAGCGTGCAAAGTCACACCTACGCACACGCGTCACACACACTGCCACTCTCATTCACACAGTCACAGCCACAGTCACAGTCACAGTCACACGCACAAGCACCAGGCAGCCCCACTGAAACAGAGGCGGGGTTCTTCAGGCATCGTCTTGGGTCAAGGTTAGATGCGTTCGATGTCGATGACGAAGACTCGTTTCTCAGTAATTGCAATTCTCTCTCTCTCTCTCTCTCTTTCTCTTCCTTTATCTTTCTCTGCAACATCATATCTTTCTTTTTCCCCTTTACCATATATCGTTACCATCAAAAATGATTCTCCGTTCGTATTGTTCCGTACAAATAGGTAAAAGCATAAATAATTATCAAATAGATTAACCACGATCAATCGTGAAACTAGGAAATGAACAAAAAATGAAACAAAATAAAAAAGAAGATAATACCAATTTGAAACAGGAGGTGACCACCCTGAGAGCATTCTCTGGAGATTCGATTGTGATCTAGGGGGTGAACCAGATGTGGTAATCTCACCGCCACCCCCACCACCACCGCCACCCTCTGCAGCGGTTTCGAGGACCACGACCCTTTGACCGATACTAGAGGAGGTACCTACAGGTGTGCCCGTCCAGAATGAGCTGCCAACTCAGGCCTCCGTCGTGATCAATGTGATCGACCAGAAGGAGACGTGTTTATAGCACACATAGTCGGCGGAAACGTACGATCTAACGATATCCGCCGAATTAAAATGCGCCGAAATGAAGGAAAAACGAATTATTATTCCTTTGGGGGATTAACGGAACCTGCTGTTGATAACTGCCGCTGCAACTGCCGCTGCAAACTTGCGCCGCTATGTTTTGCCGCTGCTGACGTTACGTCAATCGTAACGCGTTCCCGGAACCCGTTATCGCCGATAATGATGCAGGTATTCGTCATCAAACGATTCCAAAGGAGAATCAACGATTCATTATTTGTCTTTTTTATTTAATTCTATAAATGTTGAATTTCGTTTTCCTTTCCTTTCATCGAACGTGTAATAAAATTACACGACGAAGAAGTCAATTAAAAAGACAAAGCAAATGTCTAAACTCGGATTAAGAATAAAAAAGTAAAAACGCGACGAATACCTGTGTCCAATGGTTAGGAAATGAGGATTCAAATATAAAAGAAAAAAAGAGAAAGACGTTCGAATATAAAAGTCAAACACATATCGATTGAAAAAATCCATGATTTGCTTTTTATTTTTCGATAACGTTCGATAAGGCGAACCCCGATCGTTAAATTGATTGATTGATATTTATATATAGAAGAGAATGAACAAGATTTATTCATTTATTTTACACAATTTGTTATTAATAATTTAATCGTTACGTAGAAACTTATCGTTTTAAAATAAAAATGAAAGAAAAACAAAAAGGAACAAAATTTGAAAAAGGAAAAGCAACTCGGATCTCGTTGAGTGTCGCTTTATCGAAACGTTCGAGAGTGTTGAAACGTCGTAAAGGGGACGATCGCAAATGAAATATAATAAAACATATATATGTAATAACCAAATAAAAAAAAAAAAAGAAAATAAAAATAAAAACGTACGTCGTTGCAGTCGGACCAAAATCGAAGCGATCACTGCCAAAGCTTAATAAATTATTATTCGCAACGTCGAATACGATTATCGACGAAGCACGGACAAAGTTTATAGTCTGACCGATTCGTGAATCATTATACTGTTTTAAGAGGTATCGCTATAAGAACGATGGCCTAAAAAAATATAAAATAGCTTTAGCTACGTTATGCAATTATAAAATAATCCAATCAGTATGTCCGATTTCCGGACTCTCTCTCTCGACGTTCGGATTCTTAAAAAAAAAAAAAAAACACACATTTTGACACCCGAGTTCGAAGAATATCAATATTACCAACCAAGCTTTTCCATTCGAAATTTAAACTTAGGCGCGTCGTAATAATATCGTAAAAATGCACAATAAACACGTAGGATTACTGATATTGACGAGGAACAAAAACAAAATGGGTTCAAAGTTACTCAACGAATGCTATCGATTTTCAAACGAAATCGAAAAGAAATTAGAAAAAAAAGAAAACAAACAGAAAAATAGTGGACAAAGGGTAGAACGCATTTTTAAATTTACAAAACAACAACTGAATTCATTTTGGGGAGGGACAGATTAAAGTAGAAAAAGTAGTTTGAAAATTTCGTTTAAAATTTTACAAATCAAATCGATCGTTATCTCGTTTTATTTTATACATATATTATATGATTCGAGTTTATATTGACGAATTGATAACTCGTTGACGAATTTCTATCAAATCGAATGAAGTTTCCAACGCAAGCGTTGGAAAAATTTTTCACGCCGATCGAATCGAAACGCGAGTCGTCGAATTTGTCTGAAAAGTTTTTTTTAATTTTATCTTATTTCAAAATCAAAATTTAAGGAAAAATCGTACGTTTGTTCGTTCGTTCGTTCATTCGTATGCTTGCATTCGTCTCGAACGACGTCGAAAAAAAAAATGAAAAAGAAAAGAAATAAATGGATGAAACTTCACGCAACTTTTTCAAAATATTTTAATTAAGGTGAAAAATCCTGATTAGATCGAAAAATTTTTGTTTTCCCCCTAGAAAGAAATACTTCCACGAAATATACTAAATGTATGTATAATAAAAACGAGTTTAGCGTACGAGATTTATCAAGAAAAAGCTCTACTACCCAGAAAATACACGGATCGGTTATTAAATCCTGGAAAATAACTTTAACTCTTCGAATACGTTCAAACGATGATATCATCGTTTGCATGCTAAACGATTTGTACATATGTATATATATATATATACATATATATATCATATATATATCATATATATATATATATAATATACATATACATATATCTCGTATTAACTTATATGTAAACCATAGATAAAAAGGTGTGATAGGTCGATAAGAATCTTAATCATATTTTGACACGATCGACGCGAATTTATTATTATATATAAAATGTTAATATATTATATAAATATATATATATATACGTATATGTGTATATACGGCGACTGTGTGTTTTTTCACGGATGATAAGATATATATTAGAGGAACGAGTGTGCAACGACGATTAAAATGGCCCACTCGTTTTTTAATGTTGGATGTGAGAATGTATTACGTGTATGTATCGTACGTCTATCGTGCAAATAAATTTGTTCAAGAATGTTAGAGCGAGAGAATGTGAATACGTGATGTAGCTAATACACCTATTACGAATTGACGGACTTATTAGAATACGTTCCATTTTTCAAGAAACAAAACATCCATGTAATATATCCAAATCAAAGTATAATCAAATACTTTGAAATACTTCGAAGTACTTTTCATTGTCGAATTGTCGTTAACATCATCGTGTATAAATTCGATCTGTTATATAAATATCAATTGAAAAACAAACAAAAACAAAATTAAAAAAAAAAAAACGATACGAAGTAAAGAAGAAAGAAAAAGAAAAAAAAAAAACATAAAAAACCACACAAAGAAAAAGGGCAAAGTATCCGAAGAAGCCCGACGTGTTTAACGTCGTGTTTATCGAATTTTCATAATTAAATGGTAGTATTGTGTATAATAATAAAAACGTACCATCTCTTTTTTAATTAATTCCGATAGCCCTTTGCGTGTGAAAAAAAAATAAAAAATTCAAACGATTTCCATCTTAATTATCCTCCTTTTTTTCTTTTCTTAAATATTTAGGAATGTGGTTAAACGAAAGAAGAATCGTTCCGTGGTTTCTCAGTGACAAACAGAAGAAAAGCAGAAGGAAGAATGGACGATCAATCGTGATGACGACGCGGTTCATCAATCAAACGAATTGATCATTTCGAGAGTAGGAATATATATTCAAAGTTAGCACTATATAAAACTCGTTTACCTTAATTTACTCTGACAGTAGTTACTTATTATTAACCGATATTATTATTTATGCAAATCTTGTTTTTTTCACGTTGCGTTACCTTACTAACTTTCTTTGCAACTACTCAAATCATTTTCTCTCCTTCTCTCTATTTCTTTTATTCATCGTATTTACTTACTGATCCTTCTAAAATTCTCTTTGAATCTTAATGAATTTGCCTAGCTCGAAAATCAACGTAATTATCCTTTGACGAGAAAGAAAAAGAAAAAAATATCAGATAAGCTAATTTTATTTTTATAATATTACACAATGAAAAATTAAAATGATAAAAGGTATCCAATTATTCAAAGATATAGAAAGGAGGACAATAAAAAGGTGGGGGCATTAACCATTTATAAAAGTAGCAATCCTTTTGTACCCTTTTATTTATGACATTATGTACTTTATTTGTACTATCAAGACAGAAGACACCTTTATTACCATACCAATGGGAAACTAAATTGTCAGCAAAGTGCTGCCTCTCAACAGCCGTGGGAACGCTGGCAACGAACTGTAACAGCAGAAAAAAATTAATAAGTGCTTATAATTGCACATTATTTGCACAACTTTATTCTATCAAATATTTTTTATTTATCGTTAATTAGTTGAAAATAATTATTACACTTTGAATAATTATGAAATGGCGACGTCATGAGTGGGAGATATGTTATACACACGCGCAACCACAAATTCAAGGCGCAAGCACACTTTGTGCTTTGCTTTTTTTTTTTTTTTTCACACGAATTTGGTGTCCCACGGAGATGGAATGTGTCTACATCGTCCAAAAGATGTATATGTGTTAGTTAGAGTCAAAAATATAAAAATTTTCATAATTACAAATTTTGAAGCTGAAATAACGTTCGGTAAATATTATAGTAATTTCTTTTTTCTTTTTTCGTCTTTAAAATTTGTCAGTTTGATCGTATTTTATTAAATTTGCAGTTTTTCTTTTCTATATAATGCATCTTAAAAGTATTTCATAATAATTAATAGATACTATTTTTTGTAGTAACTTAATATTTGTACTTATCCTATTTCTTTATTTTTATATATTTTATGTAAATGTAAAATCACGCGTTTAAATTTAATTTCATTACAACGGTAAATATAGAGATTTGATAAAAATAAATAAAAAAACTCAGTTGAAAAGTGCATCTGCGAATTGGACGATTTGTATGTTAGGCTATTGTATCACTTGATTGTATGATTAATATAGTTTTCTTTTTGTTACAGATGATCATCTTTGGATTTATCATCTACACGTTTTGATTTTCTTCTACTTTTTAAAATATATATGTATAAAAAACGCATTTCTGAAGACACACACGTATTTAGACACTAAACATTAAATATAATCATTTTAAATTTTCCTACAATATAACTATACTATATATATCTATCAAAGAATATTGTTTTTTACCGACCGAGAATTAAAACTGCTTTTCCATCAAAGTTACAAAAGTAAAAAAACAGCGAAAATAAACAAACAATTCATGATTTTAAACGATTAATTTGTTTGCAATTACCTGCAATTATTCTTTTCTTTCTGCGGTAAAAATTTTTTTAGTGTCGGTACTATTTCTTACCGACCGAGATTTTTAACTGTCTTACCATCAGAGTTACCGCAGGAAAAAAACTGCGGTAATAAAACAAGCATTTTTTGATTTTAAACGTTCAATTAGTTTGCAATTATCTGCAATTATTCTTTTTTTTGTTTTTAGAAAACCTTACGTATACGTCATAATATAATATTATAGAAAAAGATACCGAAGTTTATTTTTTAAGATAACAATTATCTCTTTCTTTCTTTTTTCTTTATTTTTTGTTTCTTTTCCCATCGATCGAAATTGGAAGCTTTGCTTTTAAATGTTACGACACGCCGCTTCAAAAATGTCATCACCCCTTTCACAACGTGACTTCCCTTTTTCTGTTAAATTTTATCCGCTCGTTTCGTCCCTTAATCGGTTCGTTAGCAAATCACAAAGGGAGAGCTTCGTTTGCAGCATCCACGTTTTCAGAGTTAAACTATACATAACGTGTACGTATTTTTTCTTTTTTTTTTTTTTTCACACCCACACACACACGCAGATAAAAAATTATTCCACAATTTATGATTCTTTCCTTTTTTTTTTTTTTTGTTTTTTATTATTATAATTATTATTGTCTTTTACATAAAGAGAAAATACATTATAATTGACTAGATCGTAATATATTTATCACTTAAAAATTATCTTTACCATGAAAGAAAGCACGAACAATTGTTAGAGTTAAAGAAAATTTTAAGAAAATGAAATAAAAATTGATCGAATTTTTACTTTAATTATTAAATGGAAGAACTTTTCCAGGATTTATGGCATCCAATAGTTCAAGAAATTAGGCGAGAAATTTTCCATGGGTGTGTCGGTCTGTAGAAATTTGCATATTGATTGACAATTGATTGGCGTGTTCTTATTATCTAATACGGTTTGACGTCCGATAGAAAAATTATCGTAGAAATTAGTCTCTTTTTTTTTATAACGAAGGAACGAAAAAATGAACATTGCATCTAATTGAACCTTCTCATTAATAATGTTTTCGAATAATAACACTAACGATAAATTATTCTATAAATTTTTGAGAATATTGATTGGATTAACGTACAAAATTAAATAACATTTCTATTTGAACGTTGTATATAATCGAAAATACAATGTACCATCATTTAATTGTTGCATTACATGAGTTGACTATTATGATTTATCAATAACAATTATTTATATTGTTAGTAGAATCCTGAAATATCAACATGGTCAAAATAGTACGACATACGCCTTGACCATTTATCGGCTTAATACTTTAATGATACTTTAGAATTTATCATTTTTTTTTTATTGTTTCAGTAAACATTTTTAATGTAGATTTATATATACGAGATATTACGCAATTGTAATTGTTCGAATCAATTAATTAAACGGAAACAAGATATTGAAATATTCGACATATTCCAACAGTTGGTAATGTTCAAATTAATTCTCAACACTTTGTATCATTTAGATCTCCGTTTACCTTTCACTATTATACAAAAAATTATTAATACCTAGGTTTCAGCCTTTTACCAATCTGCAATCGATAAAACAGAATACAAGAAAAATTTCGGTGCAATTAATTCTATCATTAAAAATAAATAATTACAATTTGTAACTTTTTTTCTCAATTAGTTGTTTTCTTGTTTAGTTGCATCACTTCAATCATTGTACTCAGATACTCGTTTTTTTAACAATGTAGTGATATAATTTATGCATAGATTTTTTGTTTATTGATATAAATGTATCAATAAAATGTCGGCAAATTAATTAACGAAATTTGTTCTTATATATAATTATTATATAGGTCTAAACACTATGTGATGTAAACTTAAGATATAAGTTTAAGGCAACTATTCATTTCCATTGTACATATTTCGTGCCATTTTAATATAATTGAGAAAACGAGGATCGCGTGTAATTACGATTGATCGTGATTCGTGTTGTATGAATTAATTAAAAAAAAAAGAAGAACAATTGTTGGGAAAAAGTAAATAACGATTTTGCGTTAAATGTCAACGTAACGGGAAAAACATGAAAAAAAAAAAAAAAAAATAAAGAAAAAAAGATCATATGGTCAATCGATAGGATACAAACAAAAATGTCGTCCATCAAAAAAGAAAATGTTAATCATCACGATTCGTCTGATCAAACTTGGAATCACAATCTAACAAAGGCACATGAATTCTCGTAAGCTCAGGCACAAAGTTTCTTTAGTCAATTTTTGATTGCTCTATAATTTTTTATCCTATATTTTAATACAAAAAATAATAATTACTTTATCTTAACTTTGGATAGTCTACTACTTCCGAATCAAAAAATATATATATTCTTGTATATATTATTTATATACCTAATAATAAACATCGCAAAACTGCATCTTTGGACATTAAATCTTTCACCTGCACTATAGTTTCGTATACATCTATATTGTATATTTTTCATGTGAAAGATATACGATTATGAAATCACAAAAAGCTATTAATATATTTACTTTCTACTATTTAGTTACATTATTCTTCCTAATGTTTTATCATCTATACTAGTAATAATTTCCCGTATAATTGTCCCTACGAAGAACTTACAATACGCACGCGATGACTAGTATAACAAAAATACTTTATCTTCTTCTACGCTTAAATATTCGAATTTCAAAGTTTAACTCACCTATATCAATTGAAATTTCTTTTTGCTCTATGCTCTCAAAGCTAGATTTATACGTTTTTATTAATATATATATTATTATTATTATTATTATTATTATATATATATATATATATATATATATATGAAAATATTGGCGAATACTCCATAAACTTTTCTTAGATTAAGAAATTTAAGTACGGATTATTGAAAAAAAATACCTAAGGAAAAATTAATAACTATTGAATTTGATAACCTATCTAATGTTCCGAATTACCTAT